GTAGTAGCATTGCGAGGCATCGGTTCTGAAAAGCTCGAGGTGTAGGGATGCTCAGAAAGTTTTTTATGGAAAACCAGTGATGAACTAGTTTCGGCTTACACAAAAGCACGAATCCCCACATATGCATGTGGTACCTCCTTGGTTTCATGCGTGAGTGACGCAAACGCCATACCTCTTTTCCCCCCGGAGTAAGTAAGCCCTGCAGCTTTGACCCTTGCATATGCGTCTGACACCTCCTTGCTTTCATGTGTGAGTTTTCCCTACCATCTCTGTGTGCAACGAGTCTATTTTTGAGTCGACTAAAAAATAGACTTATTACATACCATCTCCCGTTCTCGTTGTCAAGTGTTGCGGTCCCCCCCATTCCCCCCTCGCCCTATACGACCACCACCCCCCCTCCCCCCTTTCTATCTTTGTCTCCGTATTCCCTTTCAACCTCCCCTCCCCTCCCCTTGCACCACTCCATGGCTAGCCTGCTCACTGCTCACTCATCAGCGCTTTCATACCTGGTTCCTTCTCCCTCTCCACTCATAAGCATTATTAACTAGCGGTGTGTTCAGTGCTCTTCCTCCTCTCAGTCCCCAACGGTGCCAAGTCTTGGCATTGAGAGGTCCCGAGAGCACGACGTGAGCCGACGTCTCATTATCTTCGCATTTTCTCCCCCTCTCCCTCCCCGCGCCCCCTCGTCCGGCCTGACTCCTTGGCCCCCCCAAACCACCCGTGTGTGCAGTGATCTTCCTTCTGTGTCCTCAGCGGTCACGAGGTGACTTTTGAGTCACAAGCGGACACTCAAAAGTCACTTGTGTGTCCTCATCGGTCACCAGCATTTTCAGATCCCTCCCTCCGTCCACATCCCCCCCCCCCATCCCCCTCTTCCTCCCGTTTCTTGCGCCCCCAACCACCCATGTGAGCAGTGATCTTCCTTCTGTGTCCTCAGCGTTCACAAGCGTCCCCATCAGGTTAGTCCAAAAACAAAACATTGTAAAAGACTTGAACACGAAGTACGGAAACGCACATGCGCATTTGCACACACACACATGCGCACGCACGCATATATGCACACTCGTCTTCCTCCCAATACCCACCATCTGATAGAAGTCTTGTATTGAGACGTCTCAAAACAAAACGTATAACATTTGCACTGCACACACACACACATGCACATGCACACACCGCTCTTCCTCCCAACACCCACCATCTCCGCCCCCCCCCCCCCCCCCCCCCTCTTCCGTTTGCCACGTCAGCATCGGACGCCTTTCTTGAGATGATCCCTCGCCAGCTGGAGCTGGTAGCGCCAGTGGAGAGTGCCACGTCTGCATCCACCACACCATGCCTTGTGAGTGCCACGTCTGCATCCAGCTCACCGTGCCTTTTGAGTGCCACGTCTGCATCCAGCTCACCATGCCTCGTGAGTGCCACGTCTGCATCCAGCTCACCATGCCTTGTGAGTGACACGTCTGCATCCAGCTCACCATGCCTTGTGAGTGACACGTCTGCATCCAGCTCACCGTGCCTTGTGAGTGACGTGACACAAGACTCTGGTTCTGCCATTCTTGAGGCGCCTCAAAAACCATTCCTTCCATTCCCATTCCCTTGCCCCCTTCCATTCCCATTCCCTTGCCCCCTTCCATTCCCATTCCCTTGCCCCCTTCCAGTCCCATTCCCTTGCCCCCTTCCATTCCCATTCCCTTGCCCTCTCCCCTTTTTCTCTCTCCCCCGCGTTCTACCACCTCCCCCCCCCCACCCCCACCCCCCCCTCTTCCCCACCTTTTTTTTTGCACCCTCTGCCCAGGTTATGTTCTATGCCAGCTGGTCCCCCCCATGCCACCAGCACATGTCTCTGTTCGTTGATATCGCCAACCAGTAAGCCCCTGTGACCTTTGAGTCGGCCCAGAAGTTTCGGACTGTCACTCATTGCTCCCCCCCGTGCCACCCACCCACACACGTCACTGTTCATTGATCTCGCCAACCAGTGAGCCCTCCCCCACCCCACCACCCCCACCCCCACCCCCCAACCCCCCCTCCCCAACTTTTAACCCCTTCACCACTAACTTAAGCCTCGTGCGACCAGCACATGTCACTGGTCATTGATCTCGCCAACCAGTGAGCCTTTCTTGACTTCCAGTCGCCCCAAAAGTCAGTCTTGACTTTCTTGACTGGTTCCTCGTTGCCATCAGCCTATGTGGCGGTTATGCATGCCCCAATGCATGACTTTTGAATCAATACTCAATGGATACTCCAAAACTCAAAAGATATCCCAATGCATTATTGTCAACCTCTTCTCTAGCATCAAGGCCCGTCTTTCCCATCTCCTCCCCACCAGCACCCCGTACTATGCTCCTTTACTCCCCCTTCCCCCCCCAGGTATAGGAAAGGCCTGCCTTTCCCCTTTCCCCTCCCCTCCCTTTCCTCCCCACCAGCACATCTTACTATGCTCCTTTATTCCCTCTCCCCCCCCCCCAGGTATGGCAAAGGCCCCCATATTCACTTTGGTCGCTTGGACGTGTCTCGCTTCCCTGATGTGGCTGAGAGGTTCGGCATCGACACTGGCAGTGAGTGCCTTTTCTTATATACCTGTCTCGAGGCTCCTTTTATTCGACTGATTCACTTTGGCCGGGGTTGGACGTGTCTCGCTTCCCTGACGTGGCTGAGAGGTTCTCAGCTGACGCTGGCAGTAAGTCAACATGACCCATGCTCGGTACACTTCATGCTTGGGCTGAATTTTGAGTCGACTCAAAAGACATGCTAGGGCACCTTGAGTGGTTCACGCGGATTTGAGCGCGAGGAGTCTATTTTTGAGGCACCTTGTCGGCTCGAAGATCCAAGCAAAAAAGGAAATAAAATAGTCAGCATGACCCAAGCTGATGAACTCGCAAGTTCTGTGATACGGTTCATGCTCCAGTGATGAGCTTGCACGTTCTGGGTTCTGGGTGATGAGCTTGCACGTTCTGCGTTCTGGGTTCTGGCTAACCCCCAGCACATCATGTGGATAGTGATTTTTGAGTCGACTCAAAAATGAGCTTGCAAGTTCTGGCTAACCCCCAGCACATCATGTGGATAGTCACAAGCCTGACGTGTCCTCTCCTCCTGACCCTGATTATTCCTCCATCCTCCTTTCAAGGCGCCTCAAAAATAGACTTGCTGATCCCCATCATATAGATAGTACCAAGCCCTGGCTGACGTGTCCTCCTGGCGCTGACTACTCCTCGATCCTCCATACCTCCCGCCCTTTTCCCTTCCCCCGTTTATCCTCACCCTCCCAGTGTTTTCCTCTCAGCTTTCAACGCTCATCCTCTTCCCCGCCTCCCTCATTTGTCTCTTGGCCCTCTCTCCCTCTCTCCTCATGCTCCCAGTGTTTTCTTCTCAACTGCCCACTCTCGTCCTCTTCCACAATGGCACCGAAGTCAACCGCCTTCCACCGCTCTCCACCAGCAGCAGCAGCAGCAACAGGTTCAGTGCCCAGCCCACACCGTTCTTCTCCCCGTCTGCCCTGGCCCCTGGGCTTTACACGCCGCCCCGGCTCACCAGAAGCATGGTAGTGAGTGCCTTTCAGCTGGACCTATGGCGGATGAAGGGTGCTCTGGCGATGGAGAAAGCAGCACAGCAGAAGGGGAGGAAGGAAGCCCAGGTGCAAGCACAGCAGCAGGAGCAGAAGGAGGAGCTGGATCAGGGGCAGGAGCAGGAGGAGAAGAAAGAGCGGTAGTTGCAGGTAGGAGTGGCTAGAGTAGGGAGGCAGCAGAAGGGGTCTTTACACGCCACCACGGCTCACTAGAAGCATGGTCGTGACGGTGTTTCAGCTGGACCTATGGCAGATGAAGGGTGCTCTGGCGATGGAGAAACCAGCACAGCAGAAGGGGAGGAAGGAAGCCCAGGTGCAAGCACAGCAGCAGGAGCAGAAGGAGGAGCTGGATCAGGGGCAGGAGCAGGAGGAGAAGAAAGAGCGGTAGTTGTAGGTATGAGTGGCTAGAGTAGGGAGGCAGCAGGAGGCGTCTTTACACGCCGCCACGGCTCACTAGGAGCATGGTAATGACGGCGTTTCAGCTGGACGTGTGGCGGATGAAGGGGGCTCTAGTGATGGCGAAAAGCAGCGCAGTAGTAGGGGAGGAAGGAGGGTCAAGCGCAGGCACAGCAGCAGGAAGAACGGCAGGAGCAGGAGCAGGGCCAGGGCCAGGGGCAGGAGCGGGAGCAGGGGCAGGAGCGGGAGCAGGGGCAGGAGCGGGAGCAGGGGCAGGAGCGGGAGCAGGGGCAGGAGCGGAGCAGGGGCAGGAGGAGAAGACAGAGTGGTAGTTGAATGAGTAGGGGATGACATTACAGCAGGAGGCATCACTACACGCGGCCACAGATCGCGAGGATGAAGGGCGCCTTTCACATGGATTTATGGAGGATGAAGGGCGCTCTGGTGATGGCGAAAGCAGCGCAGCAGAAGGGGAGGAAAGAGGGTCAGGTGCAGGCACAGCAGGAGAAACAGAGGCAGGAGCAGGGGCAGCAAGAGCAACAGGAGGAAGAGTAAGGTCAGGAGGGAAAGGAGGAGTGGGTAGCTACTGTTGGGGGATGGAATCAACTCTACTATGAGTGGTCAGAATCATTGTTCTGCAAAAGGTGTCGCTGGGAGCGTGGGCTTGCGCAAAGAAGGTTGGAAGTGCGATGAAATGTTGCTTACTGGTTTTGTGAGTCATGACAGTGCCAGGCCAATCTCAGCTCAACTGCTTGGGAAAAGGGTTTTATGCAAGTGTTTGTTATTGTGTGATTGTAGGCCGTGAAAGCAAGTTGTTTTGTTATTGTTGTAAACATTTATGCAGTTTTCACGTTTCACGAAAAACAGCTCTTTGATAGATATGGATATCAAGGAGCATCATCATTCAATTATCCTCTATTGTGCATTTGTTCAAACTAAAATGACTTGATTTGCATTATCTAGCACGCTAAGTAGTACCCGATTTCATAACTGTAGTGACCTGATTAATGATGACGTTCAGGGACCTTGATGCCAGGAGCACCAACCGCCGCACTCGTGGGCGGCAATCACGGCTACTCGGCGTCTCTAAAATCCTACTTCTCGAACACCCTAGCGGCTAGAATCCAGAACAAGCGTGAGATTGCAGATTGGACGGAACCAGACACGGGGGATGAGGAGAGGACTGGGGAACTACCCGTAGCGGCGCAGCCATCGCCTCTGACCGGCCGGCGCCTGGACTAACAGACGACTACTTATTGCCGGCGTGTATCACCAGCGGCGTTTTTGAGAGTTCTAAAAAACACCCTGCAGTATCACCAGAGATGGCGGAGCCTGCGCCTGGACTTCACGGCTGTAGCTCCTGTAGTTTCACGTGGGCGTATTTTGAATCTTCTCAACGTACACCTGTAGCTCCTGTAATTCACGCCGTTGGTGTATTTTGAAATTTATCGACGTACAGCTTTAGAGGTGCTTTTTTTTTGTTTTTTTCTCGACATACACCACAACAAGAAGCAATGGCGGAGCGATCTCCGCGATCGCCCCTCACCGGCCGGCGCCTGGACTTCACAGCTGTAGCTCGAGGCACGGAGGGGCCTGTAGCGCAGGCAGCGGCGCAAGACGCGGAGATGGGGGAACCGACGGTTGGCACACCAGCGGCAGACGCGGGGAGCGATGGAGCGACGATGGTCTTGCAAGTTTCTGCAACACCTGCTGCTGCTGCTGCTCCTGCTGAGGTGTCCGTTGCGGTGCGAAACGCGGAGATTCGGCGGGGGATAACGGCGATCAAGGCGGAGAGCCAGCGGCAGCGGACTGGCCTCGTCCAGGTGCGTATGATTTTCGCACAAAGCATGTTCTTGAGTCCACTCACCTGCAGGTGCTTGCTTGGACATGCGTCACTGTTCAGAATTTACTGGAAGGAACCGCTGGTGGATTGGATTTTGAGTCGACTCAAAATACATCAGCAGGTTCTTGGACATGCGTGACTGTTTGCTGGAAGGAACCGCTGGTGGCTGGTGGCTGGTGGGCTTGCCATCACCATCCGAGTAGCCACACATAGTTGGGTTGGTGGGATTTGGTGGGCCTTCATGGACTGCTGAGGCTGTCCAGTTTTGTTGTGTGGGTATGCGTGTGGGTGTGTGTGTGTGTGTGTGTGTGTGTGTGTGTGTGTGTGTGTGTGTGTGTGTGTGTGTGTGTGTGTTTCCAATGTTTTGTTAACCGCCTTGCGTGGCAGTTCGAGTGGTACTGTCAAACTGCAACTCAAGGGTGCTGTCGGTGCTGCTGCTGGGGTGTCTCTGCAACCCCTTGCATCTAAAAGTAGTTCTTAACTAAGCAATTCGTCCCTTTCCTTCCACCAGGAGCTACTGGCAGAGAATTGGAAGAATCTGCTTGCAGTCAAAATGAAACACAGGGCCGCTGCCAGCGCTGCTGCTGGGGGGTGTGTTTTTATGTCAACACCTTAGGGTACAGGGGTACAGTTTCTCTCTCTCTCTCACTCTCTCCTTTAACCAGGAGCTACTGGCAGAGAATCGGAAGAATCTTCTTGCTGTAAAAAACGAAGCCCAGGGCTGCTGCCAGTGCTGCCGCTGGGGGTATGACTGCAACACCATGGACCTAAAGTTTTTTCTAACTTAGCGACTCTTCTCCTTCTTTTAACCAGGAGCTACTGGCAGAGAATCGGAAGAATCTTCTTGCTGTCAAAATGAAACACAGGGCCGCTGCCTGTGCTGCGGCAGGAGGTATCCCCTGGCCACGTCAGCAAAATCCTAGTCGGCATCAAGTGAGCAGCGACGCAGGTCCGGGAGCAGGTCCGGGAGCAGGTTCGGGGCTGGCAGTCTTGGGAGTAGCTGGTTCGGGAGTGGCAGGCTGGGGGGCTATCTCAGCGGTATTGAAAAGGCCTGGCACTACGGAGGAAGGAGCATGGGCAGCAGCAGCAGCAGCAGCAGGAGCAGCAGCAGCAGGAGGAGGAGGCGCAGCGGGAGCAGGAGGAGCAGGAGGAGGAGGGAGAGGTGGCGGGGGTGACATGGCTTCTGCAGTTCCGCGGACTAACCCAATCAAGATGGCGGCTGTTCAGAACGTGCCGACCTTCACCACCTGGATCTTCCTCGCCAAGTGAGTGGCTTAAATACCCGGTCTGCTCCGCCAATGCCAAGTGAGAGTGCTGATCGCCTCAAACCGTCTGGCCGCCTACAACGTGCCCACCTTCACCACCTGGATCTTCCTCGCCAAGTGAGTGGCTCGGCTTGGGTTCATTGGTTAGGGCTGCGGTCGGTAGATAGAAACCCTGGGTGGGTCTGCTCTGCGCAGCGCCAAGTGAGAGCTCTGAGCAGCTCAACCCCCCCCCCTGGCTTCTCAGAACGTGCCGAGCTTCACCACCTGGATCTTCCTCGCCAAGTGAGTGGCTTGTCAGTAGAAACCCTGGGTCCGCGGTGCCTAGAGAGTGTGCCGAGCCCCTCAAATTGCCCTGGCCACTCAGAACGTGCCGACCTTCACCACCTGGATCTTCCTCGCCAAGTGAGTGGTTGAACCCTGGGTCAGTAGAAACCAACCCCCCTGGGTCTGCAGTGTCAAGTGAGCGTCCTGAGCGCCTCAAAATTTCCTGGCCGCCTAGAAGGTGTCTATTTTTGAGGCGCCTCAAAAATAATTTCCTGGCCGCCTAGAAGCTGCCCAGCTTCACTCACCTCAAAATGTTCCTGGCCAGGTGAGTGAGTGTCCTGGGTACTTATTTATGGCTGCGGTCGGTTAAAACCCCCAGTCTGCGGTGCCAGCTGAGTGTTCTCAGCGCCTCAACCCCCCCCTGGCTGCCTAGAGCTTGCCGAGCTTCACTGCCTGAGTCTTCCTCGCCAAGTGATTGGCTCGGCTTGGGTACATTGGTTATGGCTGCGGTCGGTAGAAGCCCTGGGTGGGTCTGCTCTGCGCGGTGCCAGGTGTGTGCGCTGAGCAGCTCAACCCCCCCCTGGCCGCCTAGAGCGTGCCGAGCTTCTTTGCCTCTTTCTTCCTCGCCAAGTGAGTGAGTGGTCTCTGACCTGAGCCCAGCTTTCCTTTTCAAGCTTGCTTGCACTGAGGGCACTAGGGTTTCGTAATTGAGCTTGCAGCTTTGCACTGGGGATTCCTTTAAAAAACCTTTTCTTTCACCTTCCTCCCGTTTTGAGGCGCCTCAAAACTGTGTTATGTTACCAATCAGGAACAAGCAGACCAGATCCCTGACGAGCAGTCGCTGGTGGGTAGAAAGCGGAGGCTGTAAGATGCGGAGCATGTGCACACTTCCCCATGTTACCAATCAGGAACGAGCAGACCAGATCCCAGACGAGCAGATCCCTGACGAGCAGATTTCTGGCGAGCAGTCGATGATGGGTAGAAGGCGGAGGCTTTATTACGACGTGGAGGAGGAGGAGACAACAGTGCGCAGCGAGTCCGCTTGGTACACCCCTTCCCAGATGCTCACTGCCCTGTCACACCCCCCCCTCCCCTATGGTCACACCCGCACCACACAGGAACGAGCAGATCCCAGACGAGCAGTCCCTAGTGGGAAGGCGGAGGCTGTATTACGATGCGGAGAAGGAGGAGACGACAGTGTGCAGTGAGTCAGAGGATGAGGGCACGCCGTCCAGCCAGCTCAAGGACTTCAGTGCCGTGCAAGATGCGCTCATATGGTGAGTTTTTGTGTGAGCGTGTGAGAAGGTGTGTGCAGGGCAAGGGAGAGCGGAGGAAGGAGTCAGAGAGAGTTCTCTCCCAGCAGCCAGAGCGAGGGAAGGAGTCGAGGATGAGGGCGCGCCCAGCAGCCAGTTGAAGGACTTATCTACCCTGCAGGACGCTCTAATGTGGTGAGTGAGAGAGAGTGTGCGAATCACTTTGTGTGTGGGGGATTGTAGGAAGAAGGGGGGTTGGGGAAATGTGGGGGAGGGAGGAGACGACGGTGCAGTGAGTCGGAGGACGAAGGGGCGCGCCTAGCAACCAGCTGAATGACTTCAGCGCCGTGCAAGCCGCGCTCATATGGTGAGAGATTGTAAGGAAGGGAAGAAGGAGGTCGATGAGTTGGAGGACGAGAGCACGCCTCTCCACCCCTCTCCACCCCCTTCCTGCCCACTCCCTGCCACTGCTGCCTGCCACTGATGATCCCACTGCTGCCTGCCACTGATGGTCCCACTGCTGCCTGCCACTGATGGTCCCACTGCTGCCTGCCACTGATGGTCCCACTGCTGCCTGCCACTGATGGTTCCACTGCTGCCTGCCACTGATGGTCCCACTGCTGCCTGCCACTGATGGTCCCACTGCTGCCTGCCACTGATGGTCCCACTGCTGCCTGCCCTCCCACCCTCACAGGTGGACCATCCAGCAGCACAGCGACTCTCAGGCGGCACTGTCTTTGAGCATCTTGCTCCATCCCTCAACGCTTTTATGAACCACCCCCCACTTCCCTGCACACTGTGCTTGCTTGCCTGCCCTCTCACCCTCACAGGAGGACCATCCAGCAGCAGGGCGACTCAGGCACTGTGATTGAGCATCTCGCATCGTCCCTCAACGTCCCTACAGAGGCTCTTTTTGACATTCCCACTCCACCTCGTTCCACCCCACTTCACCGCACCTAATCCATGTCCTGCTGCTGCTGTCTGCCCCCACCCTCACAGGAGGACCATCCAGCAGCAGGGCGACTCAGGCACTGTGATTGAGCATCTGGCGTCGTCCCTCAACGCCCAGGCAGAGCAGATCCACGTGAGTTGCGCATGCAAGTAGTTGTGAGGCGCCTCCGAATGAAGCAGAGTGTGCAGGTGTATGCATCGTCGCTCTGAAGAGAATCATAGTTCTATTTTTTCTTACCTAGGAGCTCATTGTGCAGTACCAATAATCGCTGTTTATGTATATATATATGTCTAAAATGTTCGTTCCTTTGTTTTTTTCCCCTTCGTCTCCACTCGCTTAAGGAGCAATGCCAAGAGATTCTGGAATTTCTTGAGAGGATGAATTCAGCAAGTGGATAAGATAAGTGGCACATGGCCGGTCATTTTCACCTCTCATATCTCCCCCCCCCCGCTGCCCCAGGTGCGGCACAAGGAGCTGAAGGAGCAATACCAAGAGATTCTGGAATTTCTTGAGAAGAAGAAGCAGCAGCAGGAGCAGGCACTTGCCGGGGCAGAGACAGCAGAGGGTAAGGGGAACAGAGGGGAGGCAGCAGACTCAAAAGTGGCAACTGGTGCAACGGCAGCAGCAGGGGCAGCAGAGACAGAAGTGAGAACAACAGATGCAGGAACAGGAGCAAGCGGAGCAAGAGGAGCAAGAGGAGCAAGTGGAGCAAGTGGAGCAAGAGGAGCAAGTGGAGCAGGTGGAGCACAAGAAAGCACAGCAGAAGGAGGCACAGCACAAGCAGCAGCAGCAGCTGTAGAAACAGGAGCAGGATGTGCAGATTGTTTAGGGTCAGAGTCAGAGCCTGAGTCTGAGCCAGGCAGTGTGGGAATGGAGCTGGTCTGGAGAAGTCTCCAAACAGTGCGCTTCCCTTTTGCAACCCCGCCTGATGCTGCCTGCTGGTGGCAACAGACACACACGCAGAGAGAGGCGCCAGGGCAACAGGAGTCGACACTGCAGCAGCAGATTTCACAGTTGTCGCCCTCACAGCAGCAGACGAGTGTGAGAGGAGACGAGCAGCAGAGAAGCGATCCAATGCAGGTGGATGGGAGGGAGGGATCGGCTCCGGATGCTGCAGAAGAAAGGCCAGGCTTGCAGGCAGCAGTTGAAAGGTTGTCGTTAGCAGCAACAGCCAAAACAACAGCCGGAGCAACAGGCGAAGCAACAGCCGAAGCAACAGCTGAAGCAGCAGCAGCGGCAGCAGTTGAAAGGTTGTCGATTGCAGCGACAGGCGAAGCAGCAGCAGCAACAGCAGCCGAAGCAGCAGCGGCGGCAGCAGCAGCAGCAGCAGCAGAAGCAACAGGCGAAGCAGCAGCGGCAGCAGCAGCAGTTGAAAAATTGTCGATTGCAGCGACATGCGAAGCAGCAGCAGCAACTGGCGAGGAGGCAGCAACAGCAGCAGCAGCAGCAGCAGCAGCAGCAGCAGCAGCAGTGAAAGGTGATGACATCACAACGGGCTGTCATGAAGCCTCTGCCCCAGCCACAGGCCCTAGTGCTGCTGATTCTCCTGGCTGTGATGGTGCCAATACCCTGCCCGGTTTTGTTGCTGCTTCCACTGCTGGTTCGGCTGCTGACAGCGAGTCCATTGGTTTAGGCTCCGGTGCTGTGTGTGAAGCCACGAGGGGGCCAGCTGCTGTGTGTGACGCCACGAGGCGGGATCTGCTGGGGCAGTTTGAGGACTTGGAGGGAGCCATGGACTCGTGGGACCACCTCTTCTGCCGCAGATGCCTCGTGAGTCGCTGAGAGGGAGAGAGTGAGTGAGTGAGTGGGTGAGGGAGTGAGGGAGTGAGGGAGTGAGGGAGTGGGAAGTGGGGATTCATCAGATATGCTTATTTATCTAGGCCATGGCCTCATCCCCATGGCCTCATCCCCATGGCGTCATCCCGATGCCCTCATCCCTATACCTTACCCGCCACTCTTCAAAACCCCCAACCCCCCTTCCTTTTGAGTCGACTCAAAAGCAGACTCATCCCCATGGCCTCATCCCTATACCTTACCCGCCACTCGTCCAAACCGCCCTCCCCCCTTCCTCCTCCCCCTCCCTTTCTCGTGCAGGTCTTTGTTTGCTAGACACATGGAACCTTTGTTTTCCAGTCGACCCAAAAACACCCTCCCCCCTCCCCACTTCCCCCCCCCTCCCCTCTCTCTCCCCCGCTCTCTTTCTCATGCAGATCTTTGATTGCAAGACGCATGGAACCGTTGACGAGCCAGTGGTTCCTGTGAGTCGATACACGCACACCACCTCTCTTTCCTTCTCCTTGGCTTTTTAATGCTTCTTCTTTTCAGAAAGTCCCCTCCGCTCCTCCTCTCTGCTTCCCTTGATTCCGAGCAAACCTCGTTCCCTTAGCGTTTCTCTGCTACCTTAGAGCATACCGCGTTCCCTTTGTTTTTCCCTCTCCCCTTGGAGCATACCCCGCTCCCTTGGCGTTTCTCCCTCCTCGTCCTCCTCTCTGCACTCAGACCAGCAGCCTACCTTCTGGTCTGCAGGGGTGAGCAGGCATTGACAGGGATAGGGAGCATTGACAGACTTCTGTCAAGCCCTGCCTGCCTCTGATCGCCATGCCGGGCATCCCTTGTGTCTCTCCCCCCAATCCCCTCGCCTCTTAACCAAGAAGCGTGCCGTGCAGCGTTCCTCCCTCCCTCCTCGTCCTCCTCTCTGCAGTCGGACCAGTAGCCCCCCTTGGAATCAACAGACCTTGCCAAGTCACTACATGCCTCTTGCCCTGAAACATCCATGCCCTGCACCTTTTGTGTTTCTCCATTCCCCTCCTTGTCCTCCTCTCTGCAGTCGGACCAGCAGCCTCCCTTGGAATCAACAGACCTTGCCAAGTCTCCCATGCCGGCCGAGCCGTGCGGCCCCTTCTGCTTCATGCATGTGAGTGACTCGCTAGTTTCTCATGCTGTATGCGTGCGTGAGTGGTTGTATGCGAGAGTGATGCGTGTAAGTGCTACATTGAGTGTATTCTAAATGACACCGCTTGCCAAGTCACCCACACCCGCTGATCCCTGCAGCTGTCCCTTATGTTTCATGCATGTGAGTGACTCGTGCTGTCTCATGCTAGTTAGCAACTAGTGCTGTTGCATGCAAGTGACTCATGCTGTTTCATGCATGCGAGTGACTCGTGCTGTCTCACGCATGCAAGTGTGATTCGTCTCAACGTGCCTCAGGGCATGCAAGGGAAGAATCTGCACAAGCATGCGTGGGTTAAAGGCGAGAAGGGGGTGCTCGTGCTACAAGCCATGGGGTAAAGGCGAGAAGGAGGGGCGTGGAAGTGAGGGGTGTGCATGGTGGATGGGGGTTGGCTCACCTTGTTTCGTCCTCTGTGCATCCCCCTTGGCCACACAGATGCCTGCCCCTGTTGCTGAAGCTAGCTCAAATGGCAGCAGCCGAGGGGAAAGCTGAAAGGGCAGGAAACGCATGGGGGAAAGGCAGGAAGCAGGGGGGTAGTGGGGAGCTGGGCTCACCTTGTTTCGTCCTCTGTGCTTCGCCCCTTGGCCAAACAGGTGCCTGCACTTGTGCAGCTGAATCCTGAAGCTAGCTCGGATGCAAGCTGCCGAGGAGAAGGCAGCAAAAACAGTGAAACCATGGGCGAAAGGCAGGAAGAAGTGAGGTGGGTGGGGGGTTGAGCTTACACCCTGTGTCATCCTCTGTGCTTCGCCCCTTGGCTGGCCTTGCAGGTGCCTGCCCTTGTGGCTCTGAAGCTAGCTCGGATGCAAGCAGCCGAGGAGAAGGCAGCAAAAATGGGGAAACCGTGGGCGAAAGGCAGGAAGAAAGGGAAGGCGATGGCTGGAGGGGCGAGAAAGGAAGAGGAAGAAGTGGAAGTAGATATATCTGATAGTGATAGTGATGGTGGGGAGAGTGAGGAGGAGGAAGAGGAGGGGGAGAAGGAGCAAGTCGAGGAGGGGCGGGAAGAAGTGGATGAGGAGGAAGACGAGGAGGAGGAGGAGGAGGGCGGCGACGAGGGAAGGACGGTGAAGGGAGAGGGGGAAAGGAAGGGTGTAGGGCGCGGGAAGGAGAAGGTGGTGGACGGAAAAAGGGGGGAAAAGATGGAGGAGGGGGAGGAGGAAGAGGAGGACGTTCGTCTCAGAGCAAGGGTATACACAGGGGGAGTGGCTGTGGAGGGAAGTAGTCAGGGCGTAGGGAGGGGTGGCAAGACGGGGAGGGGAAGAGGGAAGGGAAGAGGGGGGGGGCCTCCGAGGAGAGGAATGCCAGGGAGAGGGGACAGAGGAAGGGGACGAGGGGTGCGGAGCAGTGGGGGCAGGGGTGGGGAGAGCAGGGGAGGAGGGAATGGGGAGAAGGATGAGGGCGCGAGGGGGAGGCGCGAGAGGGAGCGTGGCATTGAGGTTTTGGAGACTAGTTCTGAGGAGAGAGATGCGAGTGATGAGGGTGGTGAGGGCGTTGGGGATATTGAGGGTGATGAGGAGGCTAATAACGGGGATGAGGGGGAAGGGAGTGATGTGGAGTTTGTTGGGGTTGAGGAGGTGGGTGTGGAGCGCGGGGGAAGGGACGAGGGGGGGAAGGAGGAAGGGAGGCAGGAAGAGGGGAAAGACGTAGGAGTAGAGGCGGAGTCAGGGGGAGACAAAGGATGGAGGGCAAAGGAGGGAGGGAAGGAGGGGAAGGAGGGGAAGGAGGGGAAGGAGGGGAAGGAACAGGAGGGGAGGGAACACAAGGGGAGGGAGCAGGATGAGCAGCAGCATGGGGCGCAGCACGAGTGGAGCCCGCTGGAGCGGGAGCTGCTGAGCAAGGGCGTGCGGGTGTTCGGCGCGGGCAGCTGTGTGCTGGCTGCCACGGTGCTCTCGCACCTCAAAACGTGCTCCCAGATCGCCCTCTGTCTTCTGGATGAGGAGCACCGCACTGCACCGGACGAAACCCCCACCCCGGTACGGTACTGCTGCTACTACTACTACTGTCCCTCTCTCCCCTGCCGGTGAACAAATCGCCCTCTGCCTGCTGGACCAGGAGCACCGCACTGCAACGGATGAAACACCCACCCTGGTACCACCACTTCTCAATTCCACTTTTCTATCGCCGCTGCACTGCGAGGGCATGCAGGAGGACCTTTTTCCTTACCTTGCCCCTTGTCTTTCCCTCTCATCTCCTTTCCTCCCTCATCCTCCAGGTGGGTCGGCCTCGTCGGCGCACCGCCAAGGCGCGGAGGAGGCAGGTGCAGTCGCAGTGGGGGTACTACAAGGGGCGGAGGAAGGGGGGGGCGGGGCAGCCAGTGGTGGTGCAGCGGCTCAAGGCCAAGGCTTCTAAAGAGGTAGGAACAGGTCTTGACTGCTCTTTGTAGTGTGATTACAACCATGGGCTACAACAAGGGGCTACAACAAAGGGGGGGGCAGGGCAGCCAGTGGTGGTGCAACGGCTGAATGCCAAGGCTTTGAAAGAGGTAAGGTTACGTATGACCTTGTGCAACGGCGTCTGCATATGCACCGGCACATATACCTGCACCTGCTTGTGCATGTGCATGTGCATGTGCATCCGCATCCGCATCCGCATCCGCATGTGCATGTGCATGTGCATGTGCATCCGCATCAGCATCTGCATGCACTCTGCCTCTTGCCCTCTGTGTCTCTCTCCACTGCTCGGTTCCCCCCCTTGCCTCCTCTCCTCCTCAGGACCAGTATCAGCCGTGCAGCTGCAAGGGCCCCTGCTCCAAGGCCACCTGCACCTGCATTCAGAATGGCTGCTTCTGTGAGAAATACTGCGGGTGAGCTTTCGCTCCCTTGCCTCCTTCCCTTTCACTCTTCTTATGACGTACCACGATTCACCTGTGAGGCGGCTACAAGCCACCTGCACCTGCATTCAGAACGGCTGCATTCAGAACGGCTGCTTCTGTGAGAAGTACTGCGGGTGACCCCTGGTTGAGGATGTACTACTGTGGGTGAGCCGTGTTTATAGCGAAATTCTTTTATAGCCCAGTTTGTGGTTAAGCCCACACTTTTCTCCCTGCACAATAGTCATTGCACTTTTCTCTGTACTGTACATTCACTCTCCTCCCTCTCCCCACCCCTCTCCCTCTCCCCACCCCTCTCCCTCTCCCCACCCCTCTCCCTCTCCCCACCCCTCTCCCTCTCCCCACCTCTCACCTGTTCCCCCCGCCCCCCCTTCCCCATCCCATGTGTCCTCCCCACCCTGTGACTTCCTTCCCCTACCCGCAGCTGTGCGCAGGCATGCAGGGGGTGCAACCGCACCAAGAGGCACTGCTCCTCACTCATGTTACTCCATCCATCCTCCCCCTTCCTCCCGTCTCTCCGGCCTCCCCCCACCCCCCGCCCTCCCCTCCCTACAACCAGCTGTGTTCAAGCCTGCAAGAACCGCTTCAGGGGGTGCAACTGCGCCAAGAGCCACTGCTCCTCGCGCCTCTGCCCGTGCTTTGCTGCTTCGAGGGAGTGTGACCCGGACCTATGCCGCAACTGCTGGGTCGAGTGAGTGCAGGGGGAGGTACTGGGGAGGGAGGGGGCACTGAAAGATATGTGACTGAGTGAGGTGGTATGCCAATGCTTTGCTGCTTCCAATGAGTGCGGGCTAACCTGTGCCGCAACTGCTGGGTCGAGTGAGTGCAGTGGGTACTGGGAAATAGGTGAGTGTGACTGAGTACGGTGGTACGCCCTTGTGTTCCTGCTTCAAGGGAGTGTGACCCTGACTGACCTGTGCCGCAACTGCTGGGTCGAGTGAGTGCAGCGGGCACTGGGGGATACTGGGGAATACTGGGGAGTACTGGGGAGTACTGGGGAGTACTGGGGAGTACTGGAGAGTACTGGGGAGTACTGGGTGGTACTGGGGGAAAGAGGTGCTTGATTGAGTAAGGTGGTACGCCCCTGCTTCACTGCTTCCAGGGAGTGTTACCCCTGACCTGTGCTGCAACTGCTGAGCCGAGTGAGTACAGGGGGCCCCTGGGTAACAAGTGCTCTGCTGCTTGAGTGAGGTGCAGCTTGAGTACACTGACTAATCACATCACATAGCCTCAAGAATTTATCCTTTTCTTGCTATGTTCTCAAGAAACGTTTTTTCAAATGGCATATCTGCAGCTGCGGGGATAAGCGGGAGGGGGCGGTGCTGCCGCTGCTACCACCTGTGAGGGAGCGCAGCTACGACTGCCACAACATGCGACTGCTGCTGCGGCAGCACCAGCACGTAAGTTGTGTATGAGTCTGTGTGCGCTGCTTGTGAGTCGACACAGAACCCAGATGTGGGGTTAAGCGGGAGGGGGCGGTGCTGCCACTGCCGCCACCTGCAACAGAGCGCAACTACGACTGCCACAACATGAGACTGCTGCTGCGGCAGCACCAGCATTTGAGTCTGGGTGCTCTGCTTTTGAGTTGAGTCAGAGGCAACTGTGACTGTCACACACCATGTGACTGCTGCTGCGGCAGCACCAGCATTGGAGGCTGATTGGTGCAGCAGCAGCAGCACCATGAATCGAACGCAGCTTTCACTCCCACAAGACGCGACTGCTACTACTGCACCAGTGCACCAGCATGTGAGTGGGATCAGACCAACACGAGCACCATGAATGGCTCAAAATCAGCTAAGATTCCCTCAACATGCAACTTCTACTGCACCAGTGCACCAACTTGTGAATGTGCTTAAAACGCACTTGCACCATGACTCACAACCAGCTATGGCTGCCACAACATGCAACTTCTCCTGCACCAGCACCAACAGGTTGATCCTCTTCCTCTGCGTTTGAGTCTCTTTGCTTCATTAAACAACTTTTTGCGTCTCTCCACCCTTTAGTGCCCGTTTAACTGGGCTGGCTGGCTGGGGCCTTTTTAAGTCGACTCAAAAACCACCTAGGCTGGCTGGCTGAGGCCTTTGACACTAATGGCTCCTTCATAAGCAAAGCTCGGGATGCATCGACCGCTTAATTCTTCCGTTGAACTCCCCCTCCCCTTTCCTTGCGTGAGGAGTCTATTTTTGAGGCGCCTCAAAAATGAACTCCCCCTCCCCTTTCCTTCCTCTTAATCCCTCCTCTCTGCAGATTCTGTTGGCCCGGTCTGACGTGGCTGGCTGGGGCGTTATGGCACGACAGCGAAGATCAGGATGCCTCGACAGCTGATTTCTTCCGTTGAACTCCCTGCCCCTTTTCCGCCCTGCCCCGCCCCACTTCCCCGCTCCGTTTCCTTCCTTTCTCTTAATCCCTGTATGCCTGTCTGCAGATTCTCTTGGCCAGATCAGACGTGGCTGGCTGGGGCGCCTTTGTCAAGGTGAGAGGTTGTCGTGTGGGGCAGTTGGAGCGCTGCTTGTACAGCCTGTTACTGGGGCATGCTATAGCTGGACTGGTGGCATGGCATAGCGTGGTGTTGCTCAGCCACACCACGCAGAATCGCAACACCACACAGCCGTGGTGTAGCGTGGTGTTGCTCAGCCGTGCTCATCTCACCCACACTCTGTTGTTTTGTGCTTTGCTTTGCCATGGTGTGCTCTGCGGTGATGTGCGGTGATGCGGGGCTGTGTGTGCGGTCATTTGCGGTGGTGTGTGATGCAGAATGGCGTGGCAAAGAACGAGTATGTGGGGGAGTACACAGGCGAGCTCATATCGCAGCCAGAGGCCGAGAGGAGGGGCAAGATCTACGACCGAATCAACTGCTCCTTCCTGTTCGACCTCAACGCAGAGGTCAGTGGAATTCCTTCAGGGGTTTCTTCAGGAGTTTCTTCAGGGGTTCGTCAGGAGTTTCTGCCTCCTGATGGATCTCTTGTAGTATCTCAAACCACTGCTCCAACAAGGATAGTGGTTCAATTGGCATCTCGTGCGCTGCCCTACACAGGCAGGCGAGCAGGGGTCCAGCTGTATCCTTGGATGTCACAGTGGACGAAAACTCGTTTTGAATGGACTTGTGAGAATTCTAAAAAAACGCTCACATGGACCACATCTGTAGATATAAGCTCCTTTCCATGTACCAGATGTCGTCTGCAACTTTCCCTCACTCTCCCCCATCCACACCTTTGCCATGTTGCTCCCTTCTCCCAGTATGTGCTGGACGCGTTTCGCCGAGGCAACAAGCTCAAATTTGCCAACCATTCACTCTCGCCAAACTGCCACGCCAAGGTGGGTGGATGCTCAGCTTGACATGCAAGAAGTTTTATAAGAGCGTGTTCCTACAAGCCTCTTCCCAAGCAGCCTCTTCCCAGACTCGTGTGCTACAGTGTCGCGAATTTTTATGCGAAATGTTTCGGTGCGATTCCGCGAAGTGCGAAGTGAGATTCGGCTTCCCGAGATTCAGGGGCGTGTTTTTAAACCTCTTTTCAGACGAGCAGATTTTCAGACAAGCGCGAATCTGCACACTAAATTTTCGACGCCAGCTAGTTTTATGTGGTTGAGAGCGATGGAACGCAAATATGAATCGGGATTATTCCGAACAGTGGTCCTGGGAACACGCTCTCAAGGTTGCGCGTGAGTCTGGGAAGAGGTTGCCTGGGAAGAGGCTCGTAGGAACACGCTCTAAGTTCCAATGTTATAAGTTGCCCTTTTCATAGCTCCAAGGTGCTATGCTGTGTTTTGTCTTGTCCTCCCCTCCTCCCTCCCCCCTCCCCCCTCCATCCCCGCACCAAATGTTCAGGTCATAATGTCTGGTGGCGATCACAGAGTGGCCATTTATGCAAAAGAGTCGATTGAATCGGGGAAGGAATTGTTTTATGACTACGGGTATGCATCCAATTGCACGCCTATGTGGGCGCTCAAGCTCGGCACTGCTCAAAGGAGGACAAACGGTCCAGGAGGAAGCTCAAAGACAACCAGAAAGGCTCAAAAGGCTTCATAGTAAAAAAAAAAAGGGGGACATGTTTCTCATCCTTCTTTTTTACTGTTGTATTGTTTGGACAATATAAAGCACTTTTTAGCTCGTGTAACAGTCTGAACAGTTTCAGACATACGAGCTTTCGCTCAGGTTCAGGAGGCTCGGTTACAATCAGGTGTTCTGTTGCTCTGACGCTTGCTCACTGCATAACAGTCCGAACCGCCGCTGATGTCCCACACCGACCTGAAGCGTCATATCTGGTCGCGAGAAAGGGTAGTTCAGTTGTAAATCGAGAAATGAACAAGCACGGCTAGACGCACCCGCCTCAAATCAGGCTAGCAAGCTTGTATCCCCCTACTGCCAAGTCCTAATTACGTCAATGTAGCATACACGTAATAAAGTTCCTGAAGCCAAGGGTTCCCCAGCTTCATGGTTTCGAGAAGCATGACGGAGCTTTTGGTTCGATCACAGCCACTGACCCTCGGAACCAGGTACACGATAACGAGACAAACAAACTCGAGGGCTAATTTTATTCCCGGATTGAGTTTCCGATAAGAAACAAATGTGATTGGGTGAAGCATGTTCTCTGTGTTCAATAGCCTCCGACCATACTTCCAGAATCTGCAGCCCACCTGGGCACAAACAGAGGCAGCGCGGGTTCTTTGTCACTTGTCTGCCCCATTCTTTCATTCATTTGCCTTTCAGGTTCCGAACCATAGCACATCGCTGCACTGTACTGCACCGCTCTGAAACTACAGTGCTGCACGTCCTCCTGGTTTTGTTCGGTGTGTTTGGTTGAATCACGGTACAGTTCTGTACTGTACATCTCACAAGCGGGGTTTTACCAGAGTCCAGACAACAGACTAGACCAGGGGAACACACACGGTCGCAGGCGGGAAACCAAAGACAGCAGCTCGTACGTATCAAGAAAACAAGCTCTGCCCTGTGTGTCACTCTCAGGCGTTCTCATTCGCGCATCCTACCGATAAGGAAACGCTGGGCCTCATGCAGCCAAAGTAAGCGCGCTCATGGGGACTCCGCCTCCCCGCGGACGCTCCGCCAGGGGCTCCGCCGGTAGGAGATCCGCGATGATGCCCGCCACTGGCGCGCGCAAATACCCCCTGCGCTCTCCTTCCGCCCATCTCCCGCGAAACCGTTCCTCCGCTCCCGCCGCTTCCACCGCCCCGCCCTTCACCTCGCTGTTATTCACCTCGTTATTGTCCTCGTTACTGTTCACCGCGCTACTCGCTCCAGCCGCCGCCCAGGTGGCAGATACGACCTCCCCCGGCTGTACCGTGTCTGCGTCGGCGGTGTCCTGCCCGGCGGGATTCACCGGCGGCGCATTCGCGCTCAACGCGCAGGCATACGTCGCGGGCGCAGGCCGCGGGAACGCGCTCGTCCTGGGCGCGGGCGGAAGCGCAAATGCGGGATCCGCGGGTTCCGCATTCTCTTCCGCCGCGCTCGCGCTTCCGCTCAGCGGAGATTCCGCCTCCGCCTCTGCCTCGCTGTCATTTTCGGCTCGCTTCACTTTCGAGCTGGTGGGGGTGAACGAGGCTGACGTGGCAACGGGGCTGGCTTTCGTCATCACCAGCGGGCCTACCACTGCCGTCGGCTCGCCCAGGTAAGATACTACCTCTCCCAGGAAAGGTCTGCCGCTTCTCCCTTCGCCTCTCTGCTCCCACATCCCTGTCCTCCGCGCCCCGATTCGCCGCTCCCTCCTCTCCCCCTTGTCCCGGCGAATTCCCCTCTCTCTCCCCCCTCTCTTCTTCCCTCCCCCCGCTCCACACCCCCCCCTTCCCCCGCTCCACACCCCCCCCTTCCCCCGCTCCACACCCCCCCTCCCCCCCTCCCCCCCTCCCCCCCCCCCCCTACCCCCCTTCTCCCCCCCACTCCCTTCCTCGTCCCGTCCTCCCCCCACTCCCTTCCTCTTCCCGTTTCCCTCCCCCCCCTTTCTTCCTGTTGGTGGGGCACTGGGGATCGTCCTACAGTTGAGTGTGAGAGGGCTACAGGTCCGTCCTGGGGGGTTATGGGTGCAATACCCACCACAACAACATGCCCTTTTAACCCAGTCGGTAGCGGGCTGGGCCAACACTTCCTCCCGCCCCCGCCCCCCCCCCAGCCTGGCCAGTTATGGCGGCGCCGCCTTCAATGCCAGCCTGGCAATGGTGTTGAGCGGTGCATGTGGTGCTCTTCCCCCCACTCTTCCCCATTTTCCCCCTGCCCCCTATTGCTCCCCCCCTCTCCCTCTCTCCCTTCCCCCTCCCCCCTTTCTGCTCCCCCTCACTTCCGACCCCCCGCTTCCCCCCCCAGCCTGTTCGGCTATGGCGGCGCTGACTTCAAAGCCAGCCTGGCGGTGGTGCTGAGCGGCCAGCCGCCCATCTCTGCCGGCCTGCTGGCGGGCGGCAGGGCGGGCGGCACTGGCAGATGGGCGGCTCTCAACCCGTCGTCGCCTGACGCACCCCATGTATGTGGGGGAGAAGGGGGGTGGGGGGGGAGGAGGGGGGTTGGGGGGGGACCTCAGGGAGAGAGGGGAGGAGGGCCTGACGCACCCCATATATGTGAGGGAAGGGGGTGGAGGGGGGAGAGGGGCGGGATGGTCCAACGCACTGCGTGTGTGTGACGTGGGGGGGAGGGGGGGGATGGTCCGATGCACCCCATGTATATGATGGGGGGGCGGGGGCTAGGGGGGGATGGTCCGAGTCACCGCGCGTATGTTGTTGGGAGGCGGGGTGATGGGAGGGGGGGATGGTCAGAGCACCGCGTGTATGTGATGTGTGGGGGAGGTTTTACACAGTTGTGGATTGAATGCAGGGTGTGTGTGACGCACCCATGTGTGCTGCATGTGTAGCATGCATGCGGCATGTGCTGTATGTTGTATATGGCATGTGTGGTGGCGTGCATTCGGTAATGCACGTGTGGAATATATGCGGCAACTGTCTGTTGGGAAGGGAAGGGAAGGGAAAGGAGGGCAGGGGGGTCAGGACTACACATACCCGCCCTTCCCCCTCTCGCCCATTTCTTCCCCCTCTCGCCCCTACTTCCCCCTCTCGCCCCTACTCCCCCCTCTCGCCCATTTTTTCCCTCTCTCGCCCCTACTTCCCCCTCTCGCCCATTTCTTCCCCCTATCGCCCATTTCTTCCCCCTCTCGCCCATTTCTTCCCCCTCTCGCCCATTTCTTCCCCCTCTCGCCCATTTCTTCCCCCTCTCGCCCCTAATTCCCCCTCTCGCCCATTTCTTCCCCCTCTCGCCCCTACTCCCCCCTCTCGCCCATTTCTTCCCCCTCTCGCCCCTACTTCCCCCTCTCGCCCATTTCTTCCCCCTCTCGCCCATTTCTTCCCCCTCTCGCCCCTACTCCCCCCTCTCGCCCATTTCTTCCCCCCGGTTCCTGGGTGGACGGCGGCGCCTGGTCCCAGGCGTCCTGCAGCGCGCCTGGGTGGACTGCGGCGCCTCTCTCCCATCCCCGCGCCTCTTCCTCAGCAGCTCCTCCCCCCTCTTCTTCTCTACCCCATGCTCTCCCCTCCCCGCACTCCATCCTCCCCCCCTCCCCTCCCCACACTCCATCCTCCCCCCCTCCCCTCCCCACACCCCATCCTCCCCCCTCTCCCCTGCCCACCCCACTTTCCCCCCTCGCCCCTCTCGCCCTCTTCGCGTCGCCAGCTCCTAGTCCCAGGCGTCCTGCAGCGCGCCTGGGTGGACTCGGCTCCTCTCTCCCATCCCTCCGCCTCTTCCTCAGCAGCTCCTCCCCCCTCTTCTTCTCTCCCCCATGCTCTCCCCTCCCCACACCCCGTCTCCCATCCTCCCCCCCTTCCCCCCCCCGCCCACCCCCTCTTTCCCCCCTCTCCCCTCTCCGCCTCTTTGCATCCCCAGCCCAGCCCAGCATCCCTCTCCTCCTAGTCCCTGATTATGCAGGGCGTTTTTGTGGCTTCTCAAAAACACCTAGCCCGGGGCGTCCTACAGCACGCCTGGTTGGGCTTCGACGCCTCTCTTTCGTCCCATCCCCCCATGCTTTCTCTCTTCCCCGCCCCCCCCCCCCTTTTTCCCCCCTCTTCCCCCCTTAACTCTCAGCCCCAGGCATCCTTCGGCACGCCTGGGCTGGGTGGACTTCGACGCCTCTCTTTCATCCCTCATGCTCCCTCCTGCGCCCCTCCCCCCCCCCCCCCCCCCCGTTCTCCCTCCTCTCTCTCCCCCTTTCTTCCACCAGCTCCTAGCCCCAGGCGTTCTGCAGCACGCGTGGGTGGACTTCGACGCCTCTCTTTCGACCCTCCGCCTCTTCCTCAGCGGCTCCTCCCCCACCAAGCCTGCAGCTCCGGTGCTCTCCGAGCCTGTCGACCTGGCTTGGGCGCTCGGGCTGGCAGCAGACGGCAGCTGCGGGGCGGAGGGCGGCGGCGGTTGTCTGTTTGTGGGTTTCACAGGAGGGTCGGCAGCAGTGGATGCAGCGGAGGCGGCAGCAGCGGGGATCGCATCAGCTGTGGATGATGGAGGGGGGCTCATGCAGATCGTTCACTCCTTTGACTTCAAATTCCTCGCCAATTCTGCTGCTTCCTCTGCTGCTGCTGCTGCTGCTGCTGCTGCTGCTGATGTTGGTGCCACTGCTGATTCTACCAGCACCGAGTCACGCCTGGCCGGCTTGGCCGAGCCAGCAGGCTTGGGATCACCGAACGTGTTCCTTGCTTCGGACGACAGTTCCGGTGCGACGGTAGCCTCGTACGGAGCCTTGGACCCCTCCGCTGCTGGCGGGGGCCTCTTCACCACTGCCTCTCTTGTCGGTGACATTGGTACTGCGGTTGGCACTGCCACTACTCTTGGTACTGCTGCTGCCCCTGCCCCTGCTCCTGCCACATCCGCCCTGTCCTCTGCCCCCTGCAACGTCACTGCTACTAGCATCTCCTGTGTTGGCTTCTCCTCCTCCTCCTCCCCCGCCCTCTCCTCGCCCTTCTTCCAGCTCAATGGCGACGCCCAGGTGGGCCCCGGACCAAACTTCCCCATCTGGCTCGACACCACCACCAATGCTGCCGGCTGCGCCCTCTCCATCCCGAGCCTCAGCCTCAGCCTCGGCACCGGGCCTGGCGGCAGCACCGGCGCAGAAGCGGTGGCGTTTGAGGCGGCTTTTTCGTTTTCGTTTGCGGCGAGCGCGGATTACAACAGCTGGGGCAACCGAGGGCTCGCGTTCGTGATCACTGCGGGGGAGAAGACCGCGTGTGGGCGGAGCTCGGGCAGGTGAGGAGGGATAATTTGTGGTAGTGGTGGTAGTGGTGGTAGTGGTGGTAGTGGTGGTAGTGGTGGTAGTGGTGGTAGTGGTGGTAGTGGTGGTAGTGGTGGTAGTGTAGTGCGATGCACGGCAGTTGAAGGGGTGGAAAGAAAGGCATCCGATTGCTTTTGAGTCGACTCTAAAGGCACGGCAGTTGAAGGGGCGGAAGGAAAGGCATCCGATTGCTGCTGCGGATGAGACGGCCTGTGCGAGGAGCTCGCGCAGGTGAGAGGCAGACGAGAGGTGTGGAGTGGAGGGCTTAGGTACGGTGTGGTATGGTAGTGCAATGCAATGCATGGCAGTTGAAGGTGAGGGAGGAGCCACGGGAGGTGAGGAGGGATGGGAGAGGAGGAGGGATGGGAGAGGAGGAGGGATGGGAGAAGAGGAGGAATGGGAGAGGAGGAGGGATGGGAGAGGAAGAGGGATGGGAGAGGAAGAGGGATGGGAGAGGAGGAAGAGGGATGGGAGAGGAGGAGGGATGGGAGAGGAGGAGGAGGGATGGGAGAGGAGGAGGGATGGGAGTTGAGGAGGGATGGGAGAGGAGGAGGGCTTCTAGGGGTGGACTATTAGGGAGGTGAGAGATGGCTTAAGTATGGTATGGTAGTGCAGTGCATGGCTGTACGAGTTGTGTGGACATGCAACCGAACGGCCAGCTTCATGCTCTTTGCAGGCAGCAAGCTGGCATTTGGAATGAGGTGTGCATGGGCTCATGCATGTAGATTGGGGCTCATGCATGTAGATTGGGGCTCATGCATGTAGATTGGGTTCACTGCAAGTGAGGTGGGCGGTTAGGTGTGTGAGATGATAAAAGGTGTGCATGCATGAGCGCATACATATGCCATGCTCATACATGCCCTTTATCTCTTTCCTCCACTCATCCTCCCTCATTTCCCATTCCAGCGCCATAGGCTACGGCTTTGCCCCCAACAACTCGTTTGCGCAAAGCATTGCGGTGGAGATGCGATCTCGGCCGTCCGCGTGTGTGGCAGTGGTGGTGGGGGGGGAGGTGGCAGGCGACAACTGTGCTGATTCTGATGCCATGGCGCTGCTACCACCCGCTCAGGTAAGACCTGCTCAAGTGACACCCGCTCAGGTAAGACCTGCTCAGGTAGCACATGTTTGGTAACACCTGCTCGGGTCATACCTAACCCTTGTGCTCCTCCCTGCAGCCGACTCCACACTCCCTCTCGCTTTCTTTGCCGCCTCCCATTTCCTCCCCCCACTTGCGCCTCCCTTCCAGGGCTCCCCTTCCCCCCTCCCCCCCGCCACCTCTTTGGCACCTACCCTCCGAGTCATTCTTGCCGAGCAAGTGACAGCTCTTGTGAAAGTCTATTTTTGGGGCGCCTAAAAAATACCTTCCACCCTTTCCCCCCACCCCCCCTTTCCCCCGCCATCTCTTTGGCACGTACTCTCCTTCTCGCCGACCATGTGACAGCTCTTGTGAAAGTTGCCATTCACATGCCTGCGCTCCCTGCTCTCCGGGAGCATGTGACAGCTCTTGTGAAAGGTACCATTCACATGCCTTGAGGCTTTCTTTCCCCCATAACCCCAACCCCCACTCCCCAGGCGTTCACCCTGAACGAGCCCCAGTACGTGTGGTGGCGCACGTGTGATTACGACAGCAGCAACATAGAATGGCACCCTCGTCCAACTCCTCCTTCCATCTTCTCCTTTCAACTCCTCCTTCCACCTTCTCCTTTCAACTCCTCCTTCCATCTTCTCCTTTCAACTCCTCCTTCCATCTTCTCCTTTCAACTCCTCCTTCCATCTTCTCCTTTCAACTCCTCCTTCCATCTTCTCCTTTCAACTCCTCCCATCTTCTCCTTTCAACTCCTCCCAACCCCCGCTATCTTTCCACGCATTCACTCTGGACGAGCCCCAGCACGTGTGGTGTGGGCGATTACGACAACAGCAACATAGAATGGCACCCTCGTCCCACTCCTCGTTTTGAGGCGCCTCAAAACCCTTCCCACTCCTCCTTCCATCTTCTCCTTTCAACTCCTCCCAACCCCACCTCGTAGGCCTTCACCCTTCACCCTGAACGAGCCCCAGCACGTGTAGTGTAAACCCTCACGCAAGCCCCCTATTCGTCTCTCTCTTTCTCTCCCTCTTGCCCCCCAGGCGTTCACCCTGAGCGAGCCCCAGCGCGCGTGGGAGACTCAGCAGTGGCAAACAATGATGCCCTGTTGCCCATACCCTTCCCTTCCCCCCCACCCAGGCCTTCACTCTGAACGAGCCCCAGTACGTGTGGGTGAGCTACGACGGCAGCACGCGCGCCCTGCAGGTGTTTGTGTCGCCAGGGTCGCCCTCCAAGCCACAGTCCGCCGCCCTCGTTGTGCCCCTGGACGTGCCCGCCCTCCTGGGAGGCACCTCGGGCATCTCGGTGGGATTCACGGGGGGGTCGTGGTGGACGTGGGTGGACGACCTGGAGGACCACGTCATCCACTCGCTGTCCTTTGAAGCGGGTAAGCATTGGCGTCAGTGAATGACCCGAGGGGAGGGGGTGGGAGGCATGGAGGCACGGAGGCATGGTGGGCGTGGGTGGACGACCTGGAGGACCACGTCATCCACTCGCTCTCTTTTGAAGCTGGTTAGGAAATGCTTCTGAGGAAGTTCTAGGGGACCATATGTGCATTTCCTCTTCTTCTTGCAAGTCCTATGATAGTGCCTGTATATTGGATACTTACACCAACGTCTGGTACTAACCATAGACTTGGTAGTGACTATTTCGGTACTGACCGTAGCTCTGGTACTGCACATAGATTTTGGTACTGGCCATAGATTTGGTACTGGCCATAGATTTGGTTCTGACCATAGATTTGGTACTGACCATAGATTCGATACTGACCATAGATTCGATACTGATCATAGGTTTGATACTGACCATAGAGTTGGTGTTGACCATAGATTCGGTACTGATCATCAATTCAATGCTTCACCCAAGGTTTACTTAATCCTTCACCCAAATTTTGATATAAATTATTGAAGAGAAAGAAAGAAGCATTTAAAGTTCTACGTTGTTCTCTCCTTTCTCCCTCTTCCCCCCTCCCCCAGTGCCCCCCGGCTCCCAGCAGTCCCTGCCGCCCTCCTCTCCCCCCAGCACGTGCCACCTCGCCCCCTCCCACACTCGCCTCACCTGCACTGGCTTTGCCGGCCGCTCGCCCTTCCGCCTCAACGGCTACGCTCATGTGGGGCCCGCGCCCAACTTCCCCCTCGTCCTCGACACGGGCGGCACCGCTGGCAGCGCGCTCACACTCGCTGACCTGGTGCTCTCACTGGATTCGACCACGTCAGCAGCTGCTGTGGTGGCGTTTGAGGCGGCGTTTTCATTCTCGGTGTTGACGGAGACGTCGTATGGCTACAGGGGCAGCAGGGGCCTGGCGTTTGTCGTCAGCAACGGGGAGAAGACGGCATGCGGGTCTAGCGACATGGGGTGAGTCGCAATGACATGGGGTGAGTCGAGTGACATGGGGTCAGTCAAGTGACATGGGGTCAGTCGAGTGACATGGGTTGAGTTAAGGATTCAATCACATGTCAGATAAGATGCGTGCCAGAAAGAGACGTCGTATGGGTGCCTGGCGTTTGTGGTCAGCAGTGGGGAGAAGACTGCATGCGGGTCTAGCGACATGGGGTGAGTCCGGTTGTAACTGCATGCCAGCTGGGAGTCTGTTTCTTTCTGAGGCTCCTCAAAGGAAGACATCGTAGGGCTACAGGGGCAGCAGGGGCCTGGCGTTTGTCCTCAGCAGGGGGGAGAAGACGGCATGCGGGTCGAGCGACATGGGGTGATAGGCAATGATATGAATTACGTCAAGACGAAAGGATGGCATCTCATGGCAAGACAGGAGTCAAAGGAAGCCTTTAGACCCCGGACCCCGGGTCCATTAGGTTGGCTCGTTCCAGTGCCCTTCTCACCACTCCCTCTTCTCCCCCCTGCACCTCTCTCTCCCTCCCCCCAGGGCCATAGGGTATGGGGGAGCGGCCCCAGGGGCGTTCAATGGGAGCGTGGCGGTGGAGCTGCGGTCGGGACCCACCTCGTGTGTGGCTCTGGTGGTCAACGGCAAGGCGTCAGGCGACAACTGCGCTGCTGCCGACCAGATGACCGGGCTTACAGGGGATAAGGTACAGTTCAGTGCGGTGATAAGCGGTTCAGTGGGTTAAGTGTGGTGCAGTGGATACAGTGCGGTTCAGTGCGGTTCAAGTCAGTGAATGCAGGGCCTTTCACCATCTCATGTGTGGCCCCGTTGTGGTCAAGTCAAGGGCATGGCTTCACAATGGCATCTGCACTGCTGCCGGCCAGATGACTGGCCTCCTCACAATGGATACGGTGCGATTTGTGACAGTGAGATTTCGGTTCAGTGCGGTATGCGGCAATAACATGCTGGATATTATGCATTGCGATGCATTGTAAGGGCTACTCTAATCCATTTTTTCCTCCATCTCCAGGAGTTTGCTCTGAACAAGAGGCGTCTAGTTTTGAGGCGCCTCAAAACTGAACAAGAGGCAGCATGCGTGGGTGGTGCTACGCGTATGACAGCTCGTCCCAGTCTTCCCCTCAACCCCGCCTTGTGGCTGCACTGTGCGTCTGCGTCCTTCCTTTCAGGCGTTCGCCCTGAACGAGAGGCAGCGCGCGTGGATGGCATATGTATGACTGCACGCGTGGGCATCACACGTGGCTGGCATATGACAGCGCCCCCCAGCTCCTAGAGGACTACCAGGGTGGAAGGGACGGCTTGAGAGCTACTCTGGATCCTGCTCACCCCTTGGGCTACTATTGACCCCTTTCACTTCCCTGCCTCCAGGCGTTCACCCTGAACGAGAGGCAGCATGCGTGGGTGGCATACGACAGCTCGTCCCAGTCCCTGGAGGTCTACCTGGGTGGCAGCGACGGGGTGAAGCCCGAGGAGCCGGTCTTGAGGACGGCTCTCGATCTTGTGGCTGTGATTGGCGCCACGTCAGCGTCTGTGGGCTTCACAGCTGGCACGTGGTGGTGGGGATGTGGCGACACGGACGACCACCACCTTATCCACTCGTTCACCTTCAACACCGGTGAGCTCAAATCTTCCCTTTCAGTCCATGCCAGTGTGTATGGGTCGACTCGAAGGTCACCTGGGGATGCAGGGATGCGGACGACCACCACCTTATCCACACTTTCACTTTCAACATTGGTGAGCTCATGCTCTTCAACATAAGTGTGTAGTGAAGATGCTACCGTTACGTGGAGTGGAGCGGCACAAAACTTGCTTTTGAGTCGACCCAAAAGCACGCTGGTGATCAGATGCTGCTGCTGCTGCTGCTGCTGCTGCTAATGCATGCTTCTTCAACATATATGTGTAGATGCTATCGTAACGTGGAGCGGTACAAAATCAGCCCCTCCTTGCGGTACACATCGAGCTGACTTTTGAGTCAGACTCAAGAATCAGCCCCTCGCGGTACACATCGCGCACATAATACATTTCCCTTGCCTTGCATACCTACTTCCCTCCTTTCCCAATTCCCCGCTGCCCATTTTCCCAGGCCCTCTGGGTTTCCTACCAGCAGCACAGCCCACCCAGGCGCCCACGTGCACTGCAACCGACTCCTCTCATTACCGTGCCGGCTTTGCCCACTCCCTCCCTCCCCTTACCCCCCCACCCACTTCCGCTGCTCCCAACCCCCCCAACTCACCAGTCTCTCCGGGCCTCCTGCCATCGGTGCAGCCCACCCAGGCGCCCACCTGCAGAGCAACCGAGTCCTCTCTCTACTGTTCTGACTTTGCCACTCCTCCCCCCAATTCCCCCTCTCCCCCCCCCAAATTCCCCTTCCCCTTAACCCCGCATTTCCTTCCCCCCCAACTCACCAGTCTCTCCGGGCTTCCTGCCATCGGTGCAGCCCACCCAGGCTCCCACATGCAGAGCAACCGAGTCCTCCCTTCACTGTGCCGGCTTTGCCGGGTCGGCCCCCTTCGACCTCAACGGCTATGCGCAGCTGGGCCCGGCGCCGCTCTTCCCTCTCTGGCTCGACTCCTACGACACCGTTGGCTCCGCCCTCTCCCTCTCGCCCCTCTCCCTCCTCACCCCCTCTGGTCTCTCCACCGCCTTTGAGGCCGCCTTCTCCTTCACCTTCCTGGCCGACGCTTGCGTTCCTCTGCCTGTAAGTCGCCCTTTGACCCCGCCCCGCACCACCTCCTGCACCCTCACCCTCTCGTTTTTGAGGCCGCCTTCTCCTTCACGTTCCTGGCTGATGCTTGCGTTCCTCTGCCTGCAAGTCGCCCTTTGACGCTACTACACTCCCTCTCACGTTTTAAGCCGCCTTCTCCTTCACCTTCCTTCACCAACTGATCAAGCTCGTCTTCTGGAATATTGCTTGGATTACCCCGCTCCTCTCCCAAACGGCAGGTGACGGGTCGAGGCTTTACCTTTGTGCTCACCAGTGGGCCAGCAACCGCCTTGGGACCACAGAATGCAAGGTACTGCCAAGTCTTGCATGCATGGTTTTAGCATCTGCATGCAAGTTAGCATGCAAGGTACCAGAAAGGTCAAGTGCCTTGTGAACTTAAAAAGATTCTCTACTAAACAGAAACTAGGCTCAAGGTTATGACTCGGCAAGTGGGAGCCTTGACAAGCCCTTCCGGACTATGACTTGGCAAGTGGGAGCATTCTCAAGAGCATTCTTAAGAGCATTCTCAAGAGCATTCTCAAGAGCATTCTCAAGAGCCGTCTCAAGAGCACTCAAGAGCATTGCGGTGGAGTTTCGCCTGTGCCCCGTACGCTGTGCTGCCATCTCACTCTCCTATTCCCCCTCCTTGATCTCCCTTCCTCTCCCTGCACTTCCCTGAGCTATTGCTCACCGGGGGTTGCCTTTCTCTCACGTGGCTGCGCCCCATACCGTGTGCTGCTGCTGTCTCACCCTCCTATTCCCCCTCTTTGATCTCCATTCTGTTTCTCTCTGCAGCTCCCTGGGCTATGGCTCGGCGGGGGGAGCTTTCCTCAACAGTGTGGCAGTGGAGTTTCGCCTGTGCCCCGTACCCTGTATTGCCGTCTCCTCCAAGGGGGTAGTGGCGGGAGATGGTTGTGCTGGAGCGGAGTTCTTCTCTGCGTTGCCTCCTGAACAGGTGTGTTGGGCGGGGCGGGTAAATCAGATGCTCATTCACCCTTATTTTAGCTGTTGCTGTCTCCTCTGAAGGGAGTCGTGGCGGGTAATGGGTGTGGTGGAGCGGAGTTCTTCACTGCTTTGCCTCCAGAACAGGTGTGTTGGCGTCTAGAGCAGATGCGTTTTGAGTCGACTCAAAAGTCATGGCGTCGAGAGCAGATGCGTATGCACCTTTTTCTTGGCGACGTATCTTAGTGTGCACAACCACACCCTCCGAGGGACTTGTGGCGGGTGATGGGTGTGCTGGAGCAGAGGTTTTTGCTACTTTGCCTCCAGAGCAGGTGTGTGTGTGGGTTGGGAGGGAGGGGCGTGTGAATCAGATGCGCATTCACCCTCTATTTAGCTGTTGCCGTCTCCTTAAGGAAATTGTGTGAGGGTGATGTGATGGTTGCGCTGGAGCAGAGTTCTTCACTGCGTTGCCTCCAGAACAGGTGTGTGTGTTGGGCGTGTAAATCAGAAGCTGCGCATTCACCCTTTTTTAAACGTTTCGTTGTGAGAGCATATTCACATCACACTGTAACTCGTACATGCAAACATCTTGATCATAGCTGCAAAAGTGACTGAAAGCGGCGAACAAACACAAATTATACAGTCTCCCTTCCGCCCTCTGCTGTTTGATTGCAAAGCAAAAGTTTCTGCAGAATAGTCAGCAGCACTTGATTTTGCAGGATGTTTTTGAGAATTCTCAAAAACACCCTGCAAGATCCTAGTGCTGCTGTTCCTTATTTCTTGCCACGATCATTCCCCTCAAACCCCCCCCCCCCCCCCCCCCCCCCCCCCCCTCCCCTCGCCTCGCCTCTTCATTCCCTACCTTTCTGCATCCAGGGCTTTCCTCTAAACACCAAGCAGCATGCATGGGTGAGCTACGAGGGTGCGTCTCAGACGCTCAAGGTGTTTCTGGGTGGAGCTTCCAAGGTCAAGCCAGCTGTACCGGTGCTCACTGCCCACGTGGACATCCCGACCATCCTCGGCGCCACGTCAGCTTCGGTGGGGTTCACAGCTGGCACGTGGTGGTGGCAGGACATGGCGAATGAGCGCCACATCGTGCATGAGCTCAACTTCGTGGGAGGTGAGAAGGTTGGGGACGGTTGGGGAAGGTTGGGGAAGGTTGGGACTCTCATGAACAGTGGTTGAGAACGGTTGTAACACCCTATGGTGGCAGGACATGGCGAACGAGAGGCGCATCGTGCACCAGCCAGCTCAACTTGGTGGGAGGTGAGAAGACTTGAGGGCTGCATGAGTGAAAGACAAGGAAAGTATCCGCGTGTAAGATGGTCTGACATGGCCGAGAGAGGCACATCGTGCACCAGCCAGCTCAACTTGGTGGGAGGTGAGAAGACTTGAGGGCTGCATGAGTGAAAGACAAGAAAAGTATCCGCGTGTAAGATGGTCTGACATGGCCGAGAGAGGCACATCGTGCACCATCCAGCTCAACTTGGTGGGTGGGAGGTGAGAAAGGTTCGGGCGGAGGGAGACAGATGGGTGTATAAGGTTGTAGAACATTAGTTAAGGTTATTTATAATGGGTGTAACTAACAACGTGTGAGATGAAGACAGATGGCCAAGGTGAGCTGGTGCATGATGTACCAGCCCAACTTGGAGATGACGACAGAGGGCCAGTGCCTTTTGGCACATCGCGTTGTGGGAGAGGCACCAACGAGGGGCACATTGCGTTGTTAGTGAGTGCATTAGAAGGGCACATTCTTTAGGCACCTGGGCACATTGCTTTGTGGCAATGTCCGACAAAAACTATCAGCTATTTTGGAGTCTCGAAGGCAATTAAGTAGGTGCTGTTTTTGAGTCTCAAGAGCAATCAAATAGGTGTTATTTGACGGTTAACTTCTTAAAGATGTGATGAATGGCAAGTGGAAGAAGGTGCCTAAAGAGAGAGTGACAGCAACAGCAAAGAATCATAACCAATCAAGAAAAATCAACGGGGCATGTAGGGCAATCACGAAGTCACAAGCTTCGACCCAGGCATGCCCTGTCTTGCACCCTTTGGCCTCATCTTGCCTCGTCTCATGCCCTCTCTTCCCTCGCCTTCCAGGAACCTTCTTGCAAGCATCCAACATCACAGCGGAGCTGACCAGCACCTTCGCTTACTCCAATGAAACCGTCCTCTCGACATTCACCACTGCCACTGCTGCTGCCACCACCGCCACTGCTGCTGCCACCACCGCCACTGCTGCTGCCACCACCGCCACTGCTGCTGCCACCACCGCCACTGCTGCCACCACCACCACTGCCATGCACCCTCTTGCCTCATCTCGCCTCGTCACATGCCCTCCTGCCATGCCTGTCTCCCCTCACCTTCAGGTACCTTCTTGGAAGCATCCAACATCACTGCGGAGCTGACCAGCACCTTCGCCTACTCCAATGAAACTGTCCTCTCGACATTCACCACTGCCACCACCGCCACTGCTGCCACCACCACCTCATCTTGCCTTGTCTCGTGCCCTTCCTCCTTCCCTCCCTGCTTCCCTTACCTTCCAGGAACCTTCTTGGAAATGTCCAACATCACTGCTGAGCTGACCAGCACCTTCGCCTACTCCAATGAAACCGTCCTCTCGACATTCACCACCGCCACCACCGCCACCACCGCACCAACCACTACCACCGCCACCACCAAGGGCGACATTACTACAGCTACTACGATGGATGTCGGTTTTACCTCAACTGGGACTTCTGGCATTGGGACTTCATCTGGAGCAGTGGAGCTCGCAGCGCTCTCCCCAGACGCCACACGGGGCACCGTGGAGTTCCGCTTTGTCGCCAACACGGTGTCGGGGCCCCACACGTTCACCGGCCAACGCCGCATCGTCGCCTCTCGGCCCGTGGTGAGTGGGATGGTCTGGTCTGTTTCTCAAATAAAAAGAGAAGAAAAATATCCTTTCATAGGAAACACAGCCGCTGACCTTCCCCCTCCCCTTTCCTCCCCTCCCCTCCCCTCCCTCCCTCTTCCTTTCTCTCTTACAGGTGCGTGCACACGTGTACATCTCGAATATGGAAGAATCGGCCATGGCTGGCGTGGCAGTGACGACGCGCATCACATACCCCAACGGCACCGACGCCTCGCACTGCTTTGTGTTCAGCGACCCCGTGCTGGACGGCATTGCAGATGTGAACGGCGCAGGTGAGGGGAGGTGACTGGTGCAGGTGAGACTGGTGCAGGTGAGACTGGTGCAGGTGAACGGTGCAGGTGAGACTGGTGCAGGTGAACGGTGCAGGTGAGCTGATGCTTCTGTAGAAAATAAATCCCAGTTGAGCTAAGCGAATCGGAGGAGAAAATCCCAGTTGTTTCTGCTTTGTCTTTCAAGTTTCCCAATGGCAGCAATCAGCAGTGCGCACTACCCTCCCCACCCACACTACCCTCCCCAACCACAGTACCCTCCCCAACCACACTACCCTCCCCAACCACACTACCCTCCCCAACCACACTACCCCCTTTTCCCCCTTTTTCCTCCCCTCCATATCCTCAGGAACCCTTGCCTCCAATTCCTTCGTGTCGGTCGACTGGCTGCTCCTCGCACTTGACTGTGCCGCCCCTGCTACTCCCACCAACTTCAAGTTTGGCAGCAACCTGCAGTACACACTTCCCTCCCCCCCCCCTCTCCCCCCTCTTTCTCCCCTGTCCTCAGGAACCCTGGCCTCGAAATCCTCTGCCTCTGTCGACTGGCTGCTCCTCGCACTTGACTGTGCTGCCCCTGCTGCCCCCACCAACTTCAAGTTTGGCAGTGACCTGCAGTACACACTCCCCGACACGTCAGCGTCGTCAGCTGCTGCTGGGGATGCCACGTCAGCACCGCCACCGGTGGTGAAGCAAGTGAATCTAACGAGTGTGCGTGTAACAGTGGCTCCGCCGCCCAAGCTGCAAGTGCACTACTTTGTGCCCAAGCACGTGCAAGGGGACGACCTGGATACCCCACAGGTGAGCTTGCTGGACTTGAAAGGTGAGCATGCCACTGGTGAGCATGCCACTGGTGAGCGTGCCACTGGTGAGCGTGCCACTGGTGAGCGTGCCACTGGTGAGCGTGCCACTGGTGAGCGTGCCACTGGTGAGCATGGCACTAATGAGCCAGCCACAGGTGAGCCACTCAGTGACACGAGTGCAAGCAGCATCATGCATCAAACAGACACGCCGCCCAAGCTGCAAGCTGCAAGTGCACTACTTCGTGCCCAAGCACGTGCAAGGAGACGACCTGGATACCCCACAGGTGAGCTTGCTAGACTTGAAAGGTGAGCATGCCACTGGTGGGCGTGCTAGGGAGTGTTGAAACGGCATCAAGTAAGGCATCAAGTAAGGCATCGAGTAAGGCATCGAGTAAGGCATCGAGTGAGGCATCGAGTGAGGCATCGAGTGAGGCATCGAGTGAGGCATCGAGTGAGGCATCGAGTGAGGCATCGAGTGAGGCATCGAGTGAGGCATCGAGTGAGGCATCGAGTGAGGCATCGAGTGAGGCATCGAGTGAGGCATCGAGTGAGGCATCGAGTGAGGCATCGAGTGAGGCATCGAGTGAGGCATCGAGTGAGGCATCGAGTGAGGCATCGAGTGAGGCATCGAGTGAGGCATCGAGTGAGGCATCGAGTGAGGCATCGAGTGAGGCATCGAGTGAGGCATCGAGTGAGGCATCGAGTGAGGCATCGAGTGAGGCATCGAGTGAGGCATCGAGTGAGGCATCGAGTGAGGCATCGAGTGAGGCATCGAGTGAGGCATCGGAGTAAGGCATCAGCACTACTTTTGCCCAAGCCCGTGCAAGGGGACGACCTTGACACCCCTCAGGTGAGACTGCTAGAGTGGATGCATGGTTAAGGTTGAAAACGTCATAGTCACAACTTCACCTAAAAATCTCACACATTCTTCTATCTCCCCTCCCTGGCTCTACTTCATTCCTCAATCTCCCTCGCTCCTGTCCTGTGCCCCTGTGCCTTCCCATGCCTTCCCATGCCTTCTCCCCCCTGCATGCCTCTGTCCCTCCTCCCCACATGTCTGCCCCCCTGTAAGGTGAGGAGTCTATTTTTGAGGCGCCTAAAAAAAATCCATGCGTGAGGAGTCTATTTTTGAGGCGCCTAAAAAATAAACGTCCGTCCTCCCCACATATCTGCCCCCCTGTAAGGTGGAGGCTCCAGTGCCCGTGGTCCTAGGAGCGCTGTTTTACAACTCTGGCCAAGGGACGCCAGCTGCTGTCGTCGCCACGCAGCCACTGCCTTTTGAGGCACCTAAAAAATCCGTCCGTCCTCCCCACATCTCTGCCCCCTGTGAGGTGGAAGCTCCAGTGCCCGTGGTCCTAGGAGCGCTGTTTTACAGTTTCGTCCTTGCCCTCGCTTATCTCTCTGTTCCCTTTTCCCCCTTCCGTCCCCTGGTTTCTCCCCCCTCACCTGCATTATCCCTAGGTGGAGGCTCCAGTGCCCGTTGTCCTAGGAGCACTGTTTTACAACTCTGGCCACGGGACAGCAGCTGCTGTCGCCACACAGTCACTGCCGGCGCCCGCAACCACAGCAACAACTACCGTTCCGGGAACCACAACTTCTGGCGCGGGAGCGGGAGCTCCCGCCGCTGACGTGGGAGCGACCACTGCTGGAGCTCCTACCGCTGACACGGGTGCAACCACTGCTGTTGCTGCCGCTCCCACGGCTAGTGCGAGCGGCGCGCTAACGAGCTTCAGCATCACCAAGACCGTCTTGGGGGACCAGGCACAGCCACCATCCTTCTCCGTCCAGGTGCGTGCCTCCCTCGTCCGCTCAAACATTGGGTCTCCCACCGCTAGTGCTCCCACGGCTAGTGCGAGCAATGCGCAGACGAGCTTCAGCGTCACCAAGACGGTTCTAGGAGAGCAGGCACAGCCTCTGCCCTTCTCTGTCCAGGTGCGTGCTTCTCTGTTCAGGTGCATGCTTCTCTGTCCAGGTACGTGCTTCTCTGTCCAGGTGCGTGCTTCTCTGTCCAGGTGCGTGCTTCTCCGTCCAGGTGCGTGCTTCTCTGTCCAGGTGCGTGCTTCTCTGTCCAGGTGCGTGCTTCTCTGTCCAGGTGCGTGCTTCTCTGTCCAGGTGCGTGCTTCTCTGTCCAGGTGCGTGCTTCTCTGTCCAGGTGCGTGCTTCTCTGTCCAGGTGCGTGCTTCTCTGTCCAGGTGCGTGCTTCTCTGTCCAGGTGCGTGCTTCTCTGTCCAGGTGCGTGCTTCTCTGTCCAGGTGCGTGCTTCTCTGTCCAGGTGCGTGCTTCTCTGTCCAGGTGTTTCTGTCAGGTGCGTGCTTCTCTGTCCAGGTGCGTGCTTCTCTGTCCAGGTGCGTGCTTCTCTGTCCAGGTGCGTGCTTCTCTGTCCAGGTGCGTGCTTCTCTGTCCAGGTGCGTGCTTCTCTGTCCAGGTGCGTGCTTCTCTGTCCAGGTGCGTGCTTCTCTGTCCAGGTGCGTGCTTCTCTGTCCAGGTGCGTGCTTCTCTGTCCAGGTGCGTGCTTCTCTGTCCAGGTGCGTGCTTCTCTGTCCAGGTGCGTGCTTCTCTGTCCAGGTGCGTGCTTCTCTGTCCAGGTGCGTGCTTCTCTGTCCAGGTGCGTGCTTCTCTGTCCAGTGTTTTGTCGTGCTTCTCTGTCCAGGTGCGTGCTTCTCTGTCCAGGTGCGTGCTTCTCTGTCCAGGTGCGTGCTTCTCTGTCCAGGTGCGTGCTTCTCTGTCCAGGTGCGTGCTTCTCTGTCCAGGTGCGTGCTTCTCTGTCCAGGTGCGTGCTTCTCTGTCCAGGTGCGTGCTTCTCCGTCCAGGTGCGTGCTTCTCCGTCCAGGTGCGTGCTTCTCTGTCCAGGTGCGTGCTTCTCCGTCCAGGTGCGTGCTTCTCCGCCCAGGTGCGTGCTTCTCTGCCCGCTGCGGACTTCTCTGTCCAGGTTGGTGTGATTTTGCTCGCCAGTGACTGCGTGAACTCCATAAGTTGTTGCACATATAGATTTCTCCTCTACTTGCCTATTCCCATTCTTCCACTCACTGTCTCTCCAAACCCCTCCCTCCCTGTCTCTCCACCACACCACACCCCCCTCCCACCCATCCCCCTACCCAGATCGGCAGCATCCCCCCTTCTGCTCCAGCGATGGTGCGATGGGCCTAGGGGGGCAATTCCCCTCACCACTAGGCCGCACACCTCTCACTCACTATCCTTGCCCCCAACCCCGCCTTCTCTCTCCTCCCATCCCCCCCCACCCAGATCGGCAGCATCCCCCCTTCAGGCACAGCCATGGTGCGATGGACCATAGAGGCCAGCCTCACTGGCACATTCGATACTGTCACCACCAACTCCTCCTCCTCCTCCCTCGTTGCTGGCCTCTCCCCCATTCTCGAGTCTGTGGACATTCACAACCTTGTGCACGTGGTCTATCTTCTCGACCCCCCCTCAGGTATGCCTTCCCCACACATTTCTTACCTAGCCAATCCCTCATCCACACACTATCCAAAATTGAGTCTTTACCCAGTATGCCTACATACATGTCGCAACAAATATGGCATTTCTTGACTATGTAGCATTTGCCCTAAACCCTGACGAAGTGGCGGACCTCAATGTGCTTGAAACGACCATGAAAGGGTAGGGTCTCCGCCGAGTTTGCTTTATAGTCAACTTTTCAGCATAGCCGACCTTAATGTGCTTGAAACGACCACGAAAGACAGGATTCTGGCCGAGTTTGCTTCATAGTCAACTTTTCAGCAAAGCTGACCTATGTGCTTGAAATGACTATGACCGGATTTTTGGGAGTCCTCTTTTGAAGCAACTCAAGAGCTCAGCTGATTTTAATGTGCTTGTAACGGCTATGAATGGCAGGATTCTGGGCAAGTCTGCGTTTGAGTGAACTCAAAAGCAAAGCTCATTTAATGTGCTTGGAACGGCCATAAAAATCAGGATTATTGGTAAGCCGATTCTTAAAAGGATATACTTTCAAGCAGGGGTTGATTCCCAACTCCTTCAATCCTTCTACTTCCCATCCCAACCCCATGCAGGTAAGCCATTGCCAGGCGCTGGTGACGAGGGCATGGCGGATTTCCTGGAGGATGATGACAGGGACGAGCAGGGCATGCGTCCAGCGCCACTGCACCCTCTTACCCAGGCCCATGCTTTCGTCATCCCACGGTCAAGTCCACCACTCCATCACCCTGCCCACCACTCCATTCCTTCAGCCACTCCATCACCCTTCCCCATTCCTTCAGCCACTCCATCACCCTGCCCCATTCCTTGAGCCACTCCATCACCCTGCCCCATTCCTTGAGCCACTCCATCACCCTGCCCCATTCCTTCAGCCACTGCAGCACCAGGCGCACGTGATGACAGCCTGTCGGATTACCTGGTGAATGACAATTGGGACGAGCCGAGGCCATTCCTAACACTCCCAATCTTAATATCTCCTTGCTCCCACAGGCACCCCATTGCCTGCGTGAGGAGTCTATTTTTGAGGCGCCTCAAAATATCTCCTTGTTCCCACGGGCACCCCGTTGCCTGGCGCGCGTGACGACAGCTTGCCGGATTCCCTGGTGGACGACAATGGGGACGAGAGCAGGGCCTCATTCTCAACTCCTCCCAATCGTACTGTATCCTGCAACACATTCTCTCGGGCGCCCCAGCACCAGGCGCAGGTGACGACGGCTTGCCGGATTTCCTGGTGGACGACGACGGGGACGCGCAGGGCCTGCCGGACGCCATCTACAGCAGCGCTGCTAACCGCGTGCTGCCGGTAACTGCTGTGCCTCACAGCGCTCTCACTCTTGGCCGCCCGCTCTTCACTGGTGAAACGCGGGCCAAGCTCACTGTCACAGTGGACTGGTGAGTGAAAAGGGGTGAATGAAGGGATGCCGGCTTACAGCCTCAGACCGGCATGCACTCGGACCGACATGCACTTGGTGTGACTCTCACTCTCGGCCGCCCGCTTTTCACCGGTGAAACGCCGGCCAAGCTCACTGTTGCAGTGGACTGGTGAGTGAAAAGGGGTGAAGGGAGAAACGTGTGCACAGCCGTTGTCAGCTCCCCACTGTGGATGGCTTATTTTCAACTCCGCTCTGATCCCATCTCCCTGCTAGGCTCCCACTGCTAGGCTCTCACTGCTAGGTTCCCACTGCTACACTTTCACTGCTAGGCTCCCACTGCTACACTTTTACTGCTAGGCTCTCACTGCTAGGCTCTCACTGCTAGGCTCTCACTGCTAGGCTCTCACTGCTTCACTTTCACTGCTAGACTTTCACTGCTACACTTTCACTGCTAGACTCTCACTGCGACACTTTCACTGCTAGACTCTCACTGCTACACTTTCACTGCTAGACTCTCACTGGTACACTTTCACTGCTAGACTCTCACTTTGTTTGAGACGACTAAAAAATAGACTCATTACTCACTGTTAGACTCTCTCCGCTTCTCCTGTTGCTGCCTGTTGTGCGTGCTTCTATTTTTCGAGGCGCCTAAACGGTTGACTCTTCCCACTGCGGGACTCTCACCACTGCTCTGGTTGCTGCCTCTTGTGCGTTCTTCTTATCTTTGCAGGTCATCACTCACTGCAGCAGCAGGGGGTTGGTCTTACCTGGCATTTGCCTCGCTGCTGCCTTCCCACTGCTGGAATCTCACCGCTGCTCTCCGATCCAACGGCTCTCAGCTGCCCGTTCCTTTCAACGCCTGGACCTCCTTTTCCTCCTCCCACTCTCCTTCCTCCCCCGCAACTGGCACTGCCCCTGCTCCTGCTCCTGCCTCTTCTCTTGCTTCTTCCCCCTCTGCCTCCCCCTCAGCTGACAGCACTCACATTCTCGACCTCTCCTCTTCCCCCTCCTTCACCCTCTTTTACTCCTATTTCGACCAGACCCTCTCCTTCCCCCACCTCCCCCCCTGCTATCAGGCTGTCATGCCTCCCCCTCCCTCCCCCCCCAACCCCCCTCCTTCCCCTCCCCCTCGCCCACCCCCCCGCCCCCCTCCAAACCCCCCAAGGCCTCCCCCAAACCCCTCTCCTCCCCCCCGCCCCCCTCCAAATCCCCCCAAGCCACCCCCACCACCTTCCCCCCCTCCTCGCCCCCCCCCATCTCCCCCCAGACCCCCCCCACCACCTACTCCCCCTCCCCGCCCCCCTCCAAGCCCCCCCAAGCCCCCGTCGCCTCCCCCTCGCCCTCCTCCCAATCCTCCGAAGCCCCCTCCTCCCCCCTCACCCCCCCCTCGCCCCCCCCCCAGCCCGCCAAAGCCCCCCCCGCCCCCCTCGCCTCCCCCGCGACCTCCCCCCAATCCCCCCCCAAAGCCCCCCTCGCCACCTCCCCCCAACCCCCCTCCTCGCCCCCCACCCAACCCTCCCCCGAACCCCCCTCCCCCAAGGCCCCCGTCTCCTCCCCCTCGCCCTCCACCTCGCCCCCCCCCAAGTCCCCCACGTCCGCCGCCTCCCCCCAGGCCTCCTTCTCCCCCTCCCCGCCCTCCCCCCCGCCCTCCCCCAAGCCCGCCCAAGGTCGTCTAAGTGCCACTTTTAGTGGGCCAACAAGGGTGCATCGGGATGCTGAGCCGGCCAGGGAAATGGCTCGTACTGTCAATCGTTTCTTTAAACACTTTCCTACTCGCCAAATGTTGGCTAAGAATTGTGAATGTTTTCGCATGCCTCGAGGTGTTTTGAGGCATCTAGGGTCGTGGGTGGGTCATATGGATGATGATGGCACGCACTCTTTTCTGCGACATCTCAATCTACTACCGTACTTATGCAACTCGTGCAAGCACTGGTCTTTTGCTCGAGCATCTCCCTTATCATCTCGACTTGTGCATTGGTTCCCATAGCTTCACTTGTGAACCCCCTTTGCTCTGGCTTCACTTGGGTTGTTAACTCCTATGCACTATGGCTGATACTGGCAAAAAGTGTACGGACTTATTATCCTACAGTTGCATTGCGTAGTAAGCAGCATCCAGTGAAGGTTCCCCCTACCATACATAGAATCAGCAGCACCAAGTAAAGTTCTCTCATCTCCTCCACTGCATCCCCTCCCTCTTCTCCCTCCCTGGCTGCCAATCAAACCGCACTCACTGGAAACGGAATAGAGGTCACCTGGCATGACACTATCGGCTGCAGCTAGAGAAACTGGCGTGACACTAACGGCTGCAGCTACAGAAACTGGTGTGACACTATCGGCTGCAGCTACAGTAGCTGGCGTGACACTACCTCAAGCATCAAGCAGAATAGAGGTCACCTGGCGAGACACTAAATATGCTAACAGCTGCAGCAGCCGGAAAAAAGGAGGAATCAGGTGGGAGAGGAGACCGGGAGAGCTGTTGCTGCCACTCAGGGACTAAGGGAGAGAGAAGCGGCGAAGAGAGGAGAGTGGGGTGGGAGGGGGACGGGCCAAAGCGAGGAGAGAGAAGGGCTTTAAGCATGGCGCGGTCAGCAGGAACGGCAGCTGCGGTTGCATTGGCAGTACCCCGGCCAGTGGCAGCAGTTGCACTGGTGGTGACAGGAGCATGAGAGAATCGTTCGCTGGGAGGACCAGGGGAGAGGCTGCTAGGAGCACGAGAGAAGGGGCTGCCTTGTAGGGAATGCACAGTAGTGGCAGCACCAGTGGCGATAGCTGCGTGTGCTATCGGCCTCCCTCTTCCCTTACTGCCACTTCTGTTACAATCCCCACCACTGCCACCACTTCGACTGCCGGAATCAGCATCATAACCCTCGCTATAGTCACCCCGCTCCCAGCTCTTGTTACCCATGTAATCCTCCCGGTTTTCACATCGGCCATAATTGTCAGAATGCTCGGTACACTGCTCTACCATCTCTGTAACTGCTGCCACCCCTGTGCCTTCGCTCCCATCCATCACTGCGCTGCCCAGTGAAGCCACCCGTCTGTGCTGCCCGGTGATGGGATTACAAGAGAGGTCCATCTTAGTAACAGCAGCCAACCCTGTGACTTCGGTCCCATCCATCCCTGCGCTGCCCGCTGAAGCCACCCGCCTGTGCTGCCCGATGATGGCGCTACGAGAGAGTTCCGTCTTAGTATCAGCAGCCACCCCTGTGCCTCTGCTCCCATCCACCCCTGCGCCGCCCGCTGAAGCCACCCGCCCGTGCCGCCCGGTGATGGTGTTACCAGAGTGTTCCATCTTATCTGTCTCGTCGTAAAGACACAGGTTGTCCACACTGCCGCCCTTCCTCCGCAGCCTCGCTTGCGCGCACAGCAGGGCAGGAGTTGTCTTGGGTAGCAGCACTACAGTTGCAGTCTTGCCGCGTCTCAACAACGGAGCGTTGCCACCACCTGTGTGCCATGCTCCTGTCCCATCCACATCAGCCAGGTTTCCATCGTCAGAGCGACCATCACTACTGCGTTGCTCACCACTACTTTGCTCAATACTACTACTTCGCTCACTACTTTCCTCCCCATTGCTTCTCTTTCCATTCCGTCTCTCGATGTCCCATCTCTCCCCATTCCCTCTCTCCCCCTTCCTTCGCTGCCCACCCCCTCTCCCTCCGTTTCTTCTCTCCCCACTCCCTCTCTTTCCATTCTTTCCGCCGCTCTCACTCCCGCCCGCCCCTTCTGCACTCACCTCTTCACCGCTCTTCCCGCTCCTGCCCCCCACGGCATTTCTCCTCTGTCCCATCCCAGACCTAATCCCCAGCTTGGCAAGAAAACCCTGAATCCCACCACCAGTGCTGCCATCAACGCGTTTACCAACGCTGCCACCAGCCCTTTCACCAACGCTGCCAGCAGTACTACCAGCAGCGCTGCCGCCGCCTCCTCCCCGCCTCCCAGCCTTGGCTTTTTGCAAACCAGCGTCGGGCAAACCAGCCCTCTTTGCTTCGCCATCTCCTGTCGTCCTTAACCTACCACACTCTTGCGCTGAACGCCGCTCGCCCCTCAACCTACCACTTGTGATCTCAAAAACACGTCCCTCCAACCGCGTTCTGGATGCCACTCCTGAATCGGGGCTAGCCTCAACTGTGTTAGTTCTTTTCAAACTCTCAAAAAACCGTCCCCGTGGCCCGTTCCTCAACCTACCACTTGTGATCTCAGAACCCTGTCCCTCCGAACGCGTTCTGGAAACCGCTCCAGAATGGAGGCTAGACTCAGCCATTTTGTCTGCCGTTTGCTTTTGAGTTGACTCGAAAGCACTTGTGACACGTCCGATGCTCAAGCTACCAATGCTGCTGGCCCTCGCATGCCTTTCGTCTGGCCTTCTTCTGGACACGGCTACCATGGTATCTGCATTTTCTGCACTTTCTGCAGTTCCTGCAGACTCGTTCCATACGCACAGATCAGTCAGCGACGCAGCACTGAAGGATGGCCTCATGTGTTTCCTCGCTTCTCCACCTCCTGTCCTCCTCATGCTGCTGCTTTCCGCCCCGGAATCATGCCCAATTGCAGGCGGGAAGCGATTCTGAGAAGGATCAAGCGAGGATGGACCAGCCGCAGCAGCATCAGAAGAAGCAGCAGCAGCAGCAATACCAACGCCAGCAGCAGCAGCAGCAGTAACGGCGCCAGCACCAGCAGCACTAAAATTCCTCGCTCTGCCATCCTCCTTCTGGTGTGCCTCGCTGCGCGTAACAGGCGCTGTTGAAAGGTCAAATCTCACTCTTCGGTGTTCTTTGGTAGCGCCCCCATGGGTAAGCACAGCAGCTGCAACAACGGCCAGCCGTTTATGGGGAAAGGCACCAGCGGAGAGTGATGAAGCAACCGGAGCAGACTTTAGAATCGACTCAAAAGTCACCATCTTTCGAGGCGACTTTAAAGTCACTGCAGCAGCTGCAGCAAAGGTCGCCTCTCCATGGGTGTAGGCACCTGCGGAAAGTGACGAAGCAACTGGAGCAGACATTTGAGTCGGCTTAGGAGCCACAGCAGCAGCAGCAGCGACGGCCGGCCCTCCATGCGTAAGCACAGCAGCTGCAGCCTCGGTGGCCGCGCGGCTGTACGCAAAGGCACCAGCAGAAACTGAAGAAGCAGCCGGAGCAGGGGCTGAATCATCATCGTCCACCGCTGCAGACGTTGCAGGGGCAGGGGTTGCAGACGTAGTCCTCCAAGATGAAGAAGCAACCGGAGCAGCAGGGGTTGCATCGTCGTCGTCGTCGTCGTCGTCGTCGTCGTCGTCGTCGTCGTCGTCATCATCATCATCACTCGCCTCCCTGTCTGAGTCGTCCAGCCGGCGAGCTGTCTTTTGAGTTGCCTCAGAAGTCACCCCGGCAGTGCAGGCAGTGGTTGGAGAATATACAACCGGAGCAAGGGTTACGTCATCGTCGTCGTCACTTGCCTCCCAGTTTAAGTCGTCAAAAATGCCGAGCCAGCTCGGCTTCTCTTCCTCACGCCCTCCCTTCTCCTCATGCCTTCCCTTCTCCTCTGTCTTGTACTGGCAGCAACCAGGCTGGGTGGTGTATCGCTGACTGAGGAGGCCTTGGAGGTTAGAAGTAGCATCGAGACTGCCATAAACGGGTACAGCACCCTGTGCTGTAAAACCGTCGAAAGTGGGTTGACCCTGAAACCCTCGCTGCTGCTGTTGGCAGTGGTGGTGGTGCTGCTGCCACTGCTGTTCCTGCCACGGCTGCTGCTCCCGCTGCTGCTGCTGCTGCTGCTGCTCCCGCTGCTGCTGTTGCTCCTGCTGCTGCTGCTGCTGCTGCTGCGGCGGCTGCTGCTGCTGCTGCTGCTGCTGCTGCTGCTGCTGCTGCTGCTGCTGTTGCTCCCGCTGCAGCTGCTCCCACTCCTGCTGCAGGGAGAACGGCACCTGCTGGTGCTGACAGTCACTTTGCTGTTGATGAGCAGAAGGAGCTGACAGCACCCGGGGCGACGAAAGCGCCCGGGATGACGAGAGAACCCGCGGAGACAGGACCGGGGGTAACAGGACCAGTGGAGTCAGCACCCGCGGTGTCAGCACCTGCGGTGTCAGCACCCGCAGTGGAGAAAGCACCTGCGTTGGTGAAAGCGTTCGCGGTGGTGAAAGCACCCGCGGTGGTGGTGACAGCGCCTGTGGAGGAGATGGCAGTGGGGTCCGCAGCAGAGGCGGCGGCGGCGGGGACAGCAGCAGCTGCTCTTCCATGGCGTTATCACCTGATGCCGACAGCCGAGCCGGCCTCCGCATGGACTTGCCACTGGGGGACTTATCATCCCTTCTTCCACTGCCGCTGCCGCTGTTGCCGCCGCTGCTGCCGCCGCTGCTGCCACTAGCGTGGGTAGTAGGCCTAGGGGACACGGTGCTTCCTTTTCTGCTGCAGCTGTCTCTGCCGAGGCTGCCAGTCCCAGACAGCCGCATGATCACGCCCTCCCAAGGCCCCATGGACGCGAAAACACGCGGCCTCGTGTTTTTTCGCGCTACGTTTAGCACGCCGCCCGCGCCCGTGCCAGTGCCGCCTGCTTGTACGAGAAAATCACAGTGTTACCTCGTCAGGAAATAGAACCACTGCATGGCATGCCCTTGTCCGATTAAACAGCTGACGCCCAGGCGACTCAAACCACGGGCCGCGGAGATACTATTCATAGTAGTAGAACAAGCCCTTGTCCGATGATGCAGCAGCAAGGCGTGCGTGGTAAGAGCTGTACTACAGATTCTTACTACGAATCGTGTTCGTTGGTCGTAATGTCTACCCTTGTCACTGGAGGCCGAGACATGGAAGAGAACGCCAGAAATCGACTAGTACTAGTAACTATATTATTTTAGGGAACCGCCGTCTCATGACTCTATTGGAAAACCAATGGCGGGGAGACGATGGAGGGGCTCCGAGCCGGAGGAAAACCGCGCTGCGCTTGGCGTGGGTGTGGCATAGCGTGGCATGGCATGGCGTGGCGGAGGAGGGCTGATGCTGCGTCCGATGGAGGAATGCTACCCGGCTGAAGCCACGGGAGCGAGTCGGTCGGGAGCGAGTCGGGAGGGACTTGGGAGGGGCAGCCAAAGGCACATTGGCGAAAGCTCCCATTGGCTCAGTAGCTCGGATCAAACGTCACGGCGATTATTCTGAGAAAACGGTTGCCTTCCAGTGCAAATTCTGCGGAGTGACTGCTTTGGAAATGATCAACACAGGGACTGACTGTGGCCAGCGACAGCTGGCGATGTTTGGAAGGGCCGATCTGATCGGCTTTCGCAAGCGGGGATGGCTTCGCAAGCGGGGGATGGCGTCGCAAGCGGCGATGGCGAACATCGCCAGCTCATCCCAAAAATCCCAAGTCCCAACACGTTCTCCCCACAGCCTCCAGAGACCATCGCAACATTGTGGGCAGGGTGTAGCCACCCACAGATTACCAATATTAGTTCATACAGCGGGTCCACACCCTTGCCTCAGATGGGTTACGCACACCCTGGCCATACCCTCCCCACAACCTGCCCGCACATTCTCACCACGGTCTAGCCACATCAACGCAAATGCCTACGTGCCAGTTTAGCACGGACCCCTTCAAAGCACCATCCGAATTCTACAGCCACGTGGACTCTCAGTATAATGCTCTCACACCGTCAGGAGTGCGTCAGCCCTGATCCGCATTAGGCTGGTGCGGCATGCGCCAAAAGAGTGGTACACTAATTTTTATATTATTCCTATTTGTACAACACACGTCCTAGAGGACTTCCAATCACATGTAATATGCAAAATACCATGCACCTCCAAAAAAAGAACCAGCCACAACGTCATCGGTCCCCCCGATTGCGGGTCACGTCCTGAAAACTAACCTACAACTGGAGGCTAGCACGACCTTCCCCCCTACAAATAAAATGACTTGTGACGGCTATATTCCCCCCTCTTCACCATCGTCACAGCAGGCAGCAGGGGCGGCGACGCGGCGCTGGCCAGGCATAGGGGGTTCTACCTCCTCCCCAATGTACTCCTCCGGCAGGTTCGGCACCTCTGCCGGCGGTGGGAACTTGATAAAGATCTTGTACTTGTTCCCTTCGCTGAAGGTATAGGCCTGCACATCCTCATGCCACTTCGGCCCATCGGCCGCACCCCCCCACCTCATGATCGCCAGCCGCATCCAGTTCCGCACAATCCTCCTCTCCCTCGCCACGTTTTTCTCGTTCGGCACCTCATTCTTCTGCAAGCCAGCTGCGCCTCTCTTCCAGTGGCGCACAGGGTACTCTGCCTGCAAAAACAAAACAATACCCCACAATAAATCAGAAGGGGGGCGGACGGGGGACGGGATAAGACAAACTAACGAGACACCATTTCGACTGCATCCAACACAACACTGCACAATGCGCTCATACCAAGGGGAAGAAAGTGCGTCCCCTAATCCTCCTCCATGCCGGCGCACGGCGCAGTGAACCGTCTCTGCCCTTGTCCGCCCGTCCCTGCCCTTGCCCGCCCGTCCCTGCCCTTGCCTTCCCGTCTCTGCCGTTGTCCGCCCTTGCCTGCCTGTCTCTGCCCTTGCCCACCGCCCCTGCCCTTGCCCGCCCGTCTATGCTATTGCCCGCCCGTCCCTGCCCTTGCCTCCCCGTCCCTGCCCTTGCCTGCCCGTCTCTGCCCCTTGTCTGCCCGTCCCCACCCTTGCCTCCCTGTCTCTGCCCTTGTCCGCCCTTGCCTGCCCGTCTCTGCCCTTGCCCTCCGTCCCTGCCCTTGCCCGCCCGTCTATGCTATTGCCCGCCCATCCCTGCCCTTGCCTGCCCGTCTCTGCTATTGCCCGCCCGTCCCTGCCCTTGCCTGCCCGTCCCTGCCATTGCCCGCCCGTCCCTGCCCTTGCCTTCCCGTCTCTGCCCTTGTCCGCCCTTGCCTGCCCGTCTCTGCCCTTGCCCGCCGCCCCTGCCCTTGCCCGCCCGTCTATGCTATTGCCCGCCCGTCCCTGCCCTTGCCTCCCCGTCCCTGCCCTTGCCTGCCTGTCTCTGCCCTTGTCTGCCCGTCCCACCCTTGCCTCCCTGTCTCTGCCCTTGTCCGCCCTTGCCTGCCCGTCTCTGCCCTTGCCCACCGTCCCTGCCCTTGCCCGCCCATCTATGCTATTGCCCGCCCGTCCCTGCCCTTGCCTGCCCGTCTCTGCTATTGCCCGCCCGTCCCTGCCCTTGCCTGCCCGTCCCTGCCCTTGCCTGCCCGTCTCTGCCCTTGCCCAGCCGTCCCTGCCCTTGCCTGCCCGTCTCTGCTATTGCCCGCCCATCCCTGCCCTTACCTCCCCGTCCCTGCCCTTGCCTGCCCGTCCCTGCCCTGGTCTGCCCGTCCCTGCCCTTGTCTGCCCGTCTCTGCCCTTGCCTGCCTGTCTCTGCCCTTGTCCGCCCTTGCCCGCCATCCCTGCCCTTGCCTGCCCTTGCCTGCCTGTCTCTGCCCTTGCCCGCCCGTCCCTGCCCTGGCCTGCCCATCCCTGCCCTTGCCTGCCCGTCTCTGCCCTTGTCTGCCCGTCCCTGCCCTTGCCTGCCTGTCTCTGCCCTTGCCCGCCCGTCCCTGCCCTTGCCTGCCTGTCTCTGCCCTTGCCCGCCCGTCCCTGCCCTTGCCTGCCCGTCCCAGCCCTTGCCTGCCCGTCCCTGCCGTTGCCTGCCCGTCTCTGCCCTTGTCCGCCCTTGCCTGCCCGTCTCTGCCCTTGCCCGCCGCCCCTGCCCTTGCCCGCCCGTCTATGCTATTGCCCGCCCGTCCCTGCCCTTGCCTCCCCGTCCCTGCCCTTGCCTGCCCGTCTCTGCCCTTGTCTGCCCGTCCCCGCCCTTGCCTCCCTGTCTCTGCCCTTGTCCGCCCTTGCATGCCCGTCTCTGCCCTTGCCCGCCGTCCCTGCCCTTGCCCGCCCGTCTATGCTATTGCCCGCCCGTCCTTGCCCTTGCCTGCCCGTCTCTGCTATTGCCCGCCCGTCCCTGCCCTTGCCTGCCCGTCCCAGCACTTGCCTGGCCGTCCCTGCCCTTGCCTGCCCGTCCCTGCCCTTGTCTGCCCGTCCCTGCCCTTGTCTGCCCGTCTCTGCCCTTGCCTGCCTGTCTCTGCCCTTGTCCGCCCTTGCCCGCCCGTCCCTGCCCTTGCCTGCCCTTGCCTGCCCGTCTCTGCCCTTGCCCGCCCGTCCCTGCCCTGGCCTGCCCGTCCCTGCCCTTGCCTGCCCGTCTCTGCCCTTGCCCGCCCGTCCCTGCCCTTGCCTGCCCATCTCTGCTATTGCCGGCCCGTCCCTGCCCTTGCCTGGCCGTCCCTGCCCTTGCCTGCCCGTCCCTGCCCTTGTCTGCCCGTCACTGCCCTTGTCTGCCCGTCTCTGCCCTTGCCTGCCTGTCTCTGCCCTTGTCCGCCCTTGCCCGCCCGTCCCTGCCCTTGCCTGCCCTTGCCTGCCCGTCTCTGCCCTTGCCCGCCCGTCCCTGCCCTGGCCTGCCCGTCCCTGCCCTTGCCTGCCCATCTCTGCCCTTGTCTGCCCGTCCCTGCCCTTGCCTGCCTGTCTCTGCCCTTGTCTGCCCTTGCCTGCCCGTCTCTGCCCTTGCCCGCCCGTCCCTACCCTTGCCTGCCCGTCCCAGCCCTTGCCTGCCCGTCCCTGCCCTTGCCTGCCCGTCTCTGCCCTCGTCCGCCCTTGCCTGCCCGTCTCTGCCCCTGCACGCCCGTCCCTGCACTTGCCTGCCCGTCTCTGCTATTGCCTGCCCGTCTCTGCCCTTGTCTGCCCGTCCCTGCCCTTGCCTGCCTGTCTCTGCCCTCGTCCGCCCTTGCCCGCCCGTCCTTGCCCTTGCCTGCCCGTCTCTGCCCTTGTCCGCCCTTGCCCGCCCGTCTCTGCCCTTGCCCGCCCGTCCCTGCCCTTGCCCGCCCGTCTATGCTATTGCCCGCCCGTCCCTGCCCTTGCCTCCCCGTCCCTGCCCTTGCCTGCCCGTCTCTGCCCTTGTCTGCCCGTCCCCGCCCTTGCCTCCCTGTCTCTGCCCTTGTCCGCCCTTGCCTGCCCGTCTCTGCCCTTGCCCGCCGTCCCTGCCCTTGCCCGCCCGTCTATGCTATTGCCCGCCCGTCCCTGCCCTTGCCTCCCCGTCCCTGCCCTTGCCTCCCCATCCCTGCCCTTGCCTGCCCGTCTCTGCTATTGCCCGCCCGTCCCTGCCCTTGCCTGCCCGTCCCAGCACTTGCCTGCCCGTCCTTGCCCTTGCCTGCCCGTCTCTGCCCTTGTCCGCCCTTGCCCGCCCGTCTCTGCCCTTGCCTGCCCGTCCCTGCCTGCCTGCCCTACCCTGCCCGAACCTGCCCGACCCTGCCCGACCCTGCCTCTGCAGCGAACCTGTCCGGCCCGTGACACACCACCACTGCCGTAGCCATGCCCGCGACTGGGCCTGCATGCCCGTCCCTGCCATCACCATGTCGACCGCGCCCTTACCTCACCGTGCCTGTGCACGTCTCCCTTCCAGTGGACATCCATCTCGTCTAGAACCCTATCCCGGCCGCCTAGCCTCCATTGAGGCACCACGCTCCAACCAAGTCGGCACCTTGCATATGCACCCACGACCCTCATTGTAGCCAACCCCAGCATATCCACTCACCCCATACAATGCAAACGCCATGTTGTACGGATACACGACCAGCACAGTGCCCGTCAGATGGCGGGCGTATGCGACGGCCATGAACACCTCGAACACCTCCAGGGCAAACGGCATACCCTTCTCGTCACAGTGCCAAGTGAGCGAGCCGAACGGCCCTGACAGAGGTGTGGGTTGGGGGGGTGGGGAGGATGCGGGAGAGGGGGGGGGGGTGAGTTGAAAGAGGGGCAGATCCAGCGCTTGTGCACAAAACAATTGAGTGGCATGGACCAGCTTTGGCACCACACGCGGAACCCAAGTTCCAGCACGACATACCAGGGGGAAAGTCCTTGCACGCTGACTGCGGGGTGCGATCCTTAGCACCCACGACTTCCTCCCATGGAACCCCCTCTGGCATGTCCCGCACAACACGTGGAATACCCATGTAGCGGTACATGAGCGTCTTGCCGAGCCGAGTTATTGCACCACGAAGGCGGCCGCTCACACATGACCATTGTGTCTGGTGATCGGTCGCATTGCTGAGCACGAGAACCAGATTCGCCTCGTGGTGTTGCATGACCTTCTGGAGAAAAACAGTCCAGTAAGCAACCACCTG